GCCCTGACTAGGGATTAAAAGAAAACAAGTATACCTATACGATTTTTTAAATTTTGAATCAACACACATTAATGGCTATAGAAGAATTACTTAGACAGTTATTTGCCATACCTGACAACTTGCAATGAAAAAAAGAAATCCCAATGCATCCAAGACTCTGTTTAATTAAAAAAAAAAAAAAGGAAAAAATACTATCATAAACACTCTAGAGTAACATGGGAAAGAAGCAAATGGACCCAAAAAAAGGGAAAGAAAGAAAGAAAAGAAACCTGATACAAAAACTATAAATAGAACCAGTAATAGAAAGGGAATCTCTTTACTTACTAAAACCAATGAATTTAATGTTTTACCGAACTTATGAGTTAAAATATACTGAATAGATTTTCTAATTTCTGTATAGAATCCCACTCAAGAAGACTTCGACAAGCCCAATGCAACAAATACATCACGCAAAACTTGAGAGCACCAAATTAAATTTCTGCAATTTTAGGCTATAAATTTCAAACACATGCAAATCATTTGTGTTCAGGTAACAATTTAAACACCAATCTACAGTTAATAAGGGAAACCACAAGGATGAAAACACTGACGGACGACTAATAAGAAATCAAAGACAATAAATTTGGTTCAGATTAGTTAATGACTGAACGAGAAACTGAAAGATCATTTTTTTTGTGGCTAAATCTTCTTTTCTTCACCGATTATCATCACAAACTTCAGAAAAACACAATCACCAGCTTCCCAATAATTTCAATTTCAATTTCTTACACTTTCCAGAAAAAGAACTACCCAGAAAAGAAAAAACTTCGAAAAAATCAGAATTCTTAAGAAGGAAAAAGAAACTGAAGATTCAAATAACACCTTGGGAAAAGAGAAGTAGGAGTAAAGGAAAAATCTGAGTAAGAAGACTTACCAAGAGACAAGGTTGTTGGGTGGCAAAAGGCAAAGAACCTGAAATGAAAATCAACCCATATTTCAATAAAGGGATACATTTTGGTAGACATAGTTGTTAGTGTTCATAAATAGTTGAACAGTTTTTGAATTCAAAACACTTTTCCGTTGAAACATTATTGAATTTACACACAACATCATCTATATTGGATCCATAAAATGTACATTAACTTTATTCTTGTACGAATACAGAAGAGCTGGTATTGTTAAGGGGAACACAATTTATAATGAATAAAATATCATTTCTTTCCCCACATTTACGTGCCCAAAAGCAGTACTAATCACTTCCTAAGAGGGTTAAGGGCTCCGTTTGGCAGACGCCTGCTTTCATTTTCGCTTTTTTCTTTTGTAAAAGAAATTTTAAGAGAAAACTAATCTAACGCAGCTTCCTTCAAAGACTTTTCTAGCAAGAAAAAGTACTTTTAAACAAATTTACTTTTTAGTCCTAAACTTTCAGAAAGTTTTAAGTCGATACAAAAACTTAAACCTTGTTTGAAGTTGGTCGTTTCATCTTGTTTTAATAGGATGGCGTATAGATGTATTAATTCACCAACTAAGGCGCCGAATCAGCTCCCATTAATTAAACTAATGGAAATGAACAAAATGATCAACTGCTTTGCGAACATGTAGTTATTTTTTTGGTTCCTGAAAGAAAAATTGAATGGAGTAAAGGAGAATCCAGATCAGTGTTAATTTTAAATTTTAGATTCCTCCTGCCAGTTTATTTTCTGTGAAAGCATTGCTAAGAACGAAAAGAATAAAATATTAGTGAACAAAGAGAAGTTTGCAATTCTCATATGTTGTGGAAAGTAGTTTACTGGAAATATGGTTGCTTGAGGAATTTGATGAAACAGAGATTCTCAAATGGGCAAAAAATCAAAACAGAAATTATGAGGTCGCAACAGTTAGTTGTATTGATAAACATTATCTTAAACATTAAAATTAGAAAAATCCATTGCAGTTTCTGCCTTCTATTCACTAGCCTTAAAATATTTTAGTTAGAAACAAATAATCTAGGCATGTAACCATAACGGTTTAACTTATCCATGCAGTCGAGATGCACTTACATTCAAAATTTTAGGGTCATTTTACCAAGTTGGTCTCATGCAAACTGCTGTTGAACTCCACCTTCTTTTCTTAAAAATTAATTTTTTCCCTGATTTTCTATAATTATTATATTAATTTGTTTTAAGGTGCTAATGTGTAATTAACACTGCGGTTTAAATTGGTACTCCTAAACATCTAAAGAGGAGTAGGTATAGTTTGGAACCCATCTTCACGTACAGAAAAGATGCAGAACACACACATATACGGAGTGGGTGATTTTTCTTTTCTTTTCTTTTTAATATAAAACTCACATGGAAAGCATCCCATGTGAGTTTTCTTTTTTTCTACATGGGATTTCTTTTTTTCTTCTGTGCAGGAACCATTCTGTACACACAGAATTGATCTTTTGTTTAATGGTGACTGACTGGAGACTTTGACTATGTCAAATGTCCTAGTTGAGTAATAACACCTATTTGGTTATAGTTAAAAAGCTTTGACAAAGTTCTTAATAAATTTAAAAATTAATAATATTATGGATTACATGAAATATGTTGTTAATATTAATTGTTATTTTAACCTTAATTTTCTAATAACTTTTTAAGTTTTTTTTCCAAACAAGCAAGCACGGAATAAAATTTGAATCATTCCACCTAAAAATGTAATACAGGTCATGAACAAAAAATTTGAATCAATTTACAGATTTAGAATGCTAAATCGAAGTCATGCAATAACATGGGCATGACTAGAAGAGAGATGCTACTCAAACAAGGGCCGGACTGGAGTGGATTCACCTCGAGCCTTGATTTGAATTTCATAGCATTAGTGTGACTAAAAAATAAATTTGAAATAGGAATCAGTTTAAATGACCAACAATTTTTAGTGACTAAGTTTTGACACTCTAAAGTCTGTAAGGATCATTTGTGAGAATGCCTCAAAAGTTCGCTTCAACCTACAAATAATAGAAACAACAAAAATAATTTTATGACTTTTGGTGCCATGCCTTTTGCCCTACATTCATGTGATTTTTTATTTTTTTTTATTTTTTTTTCTACAGAGGTCCTGTAAATTAAAATATAATTACACAGCTGAGTAAAGCAGAACCAAAAGGATCATCTTCATCTCATCAAGTGAACTCCAAACTCTCAACAATACTATTTCTGATTCTACTTGCTTCAATTACACAGATGCTTAGCTATTATTTTTGAACATTTATACGCCAAAACTGATAAAGTTAAAAGTGAATAACCTACAGAAGATTGCTATCTTAAAATGAAACATCTCGAGTGAACTTATTCTCCAAAATTAGTTGACGACTCGGCACATTGGTACAACAAATGCTGATTAAATCAGAAGTTGGACCAATATAACCTTCAAATGGGGGTTTAGTCCTTACATTCATCCTGATTCTGGGTACTTGCAACATAAAAAATTGATCAACTCCCACATCTCTTTTTCTTGATTGTTGTATGTTTCTGCATGAACATAGAAAAAGACAATCTTGATATGCAGAATAATATAATCTGGACTTGAAAATGACTTTCTTATCATATAGTTGACTCCTTATCATATAACTTTGTCGATCAAATGAAAACTGCGTCCTGCATGCACCCGACTATAACACAATCATTCACAAGTGGCGAGTATTAAAAAAAAGGCTCCTCTAAATGTAAGGAAGAATTTCACCAGTCCCCAACCTATAGCTAGAGTATCAATTTGATCTCCAACTTCAAAAGAGAAGCATATTGTAAGGTCCAAATCTCTGTTAAATTGTCATGCAACCCTCGTGGAGACTGCTTCACCTCAGAGTTTTGAACCCAGCAAAGTTGGATAACAAAACCTAATTTCAAAAAGTTGGGGCTGATAGTGCAACCATAATGAAACATTAAGCCCAACTTGCTCTTAAATTTTGTGGAACATCTTAGTACTCAGATAATAAGTTGGGACCAATAGTGCATTTTTTTCCAAAATGTAATAGCTGTTTTTACTTGTTCCTATATTATGCTTATTTGTTTGATACTCTAGAATGGTTATGTTCTGGAATTCATGGCCAAGCAGTGTTTGTAAAGTCCCCCTCTTGTTTTCTCTCTTGGCACGGTGGGCAGATTGAAGTAACTATACTCTTTTTCTTCTACTGCAGTTTTGTTTCTCAGCACATGGACTAAATATTTAAGTCTAAATGAGCCTGTGGACTTACCATTACAATCAACAGATACAAAATTCCCATTCTTCTTTCGACAAGTCCATAAACTCTGAGTTTCCATCTTCAAACATGATCTATTGAAGAAAAAGGAAAAACGATGAAAAGGCAAAATCTATGTTAAATCAGAAATATTTATTGCATCAACAGCATACATGTGGCCTTACCGCATGTTTTCTTGTGTTGCTATCAAACCGTCTTATTATCCCGAAGAAGCTGAAAAAGATGAAATACGCAAGAGATATTTAGCATTAGAAGTTGTTTAGATAACATAATGCCCAGAATGGTGAAAGGGGTGTGTGAGAAGCTCGTTTGCTTCACTTGTCCACACACCAGAAAGGGAAATCATTTGCTTCAAGCATGAAAATCAATAACTTATACTAAATCGTTGAATACATAGCTGGCTAGCTCCATGCATATCCTACAGATAATATTTTAAATAAATTTTCCGCCAGAAAAGACCAAACTAGGCTTAAAACAAAGAATCTACGATCATCTAAAAATGATGACATGAAAACAATGCAGAATTCCAATTACAAGTTAAACACACCAAACCACTTGTGCAACGATTACAAATTCCTCCAACTATTAGCAATCTAAAAGCTTCCAAGTAAAATCACATCCAAAAATGAAATTCAACAAATAAATGTTATTCAGGGGGATGAGAGAATGAGACTTACCTATTATCGAAAGAGCGAGATATTCTTATGACAGAACCGATGCAATTACTAGGAATCTTTCTTCTCATAGAAGGATCATGCCTTGGTCCCCCTGGAAAGAAAGAATTAAAACTAACTTTTTGCAGCAAAATACCAATCAGACGAATAAAGTTCTTGCAAATACAAAAAGCAAGAAAATCATTCATTAGAAGCAGCATACCTACACCAGGAACTCCATTTGGATAGTTCTTCAAAAAGAAATAGTGCAATAATTAGAATCCATTTAACAAAATAATTAAAATAACATTGCAAAAATAATAATAATAATCATGATTTTTTTGTTTTTAATATGTAAACGAGAATAAATTACATGTGAACACTGAGTAAGAGGACATGCAAGTAGTGCTTATAATTACAGAAAAAAGTTTAGCCCAATAATTGACTCTCCCTTGTCCATCTCCCAACAAGGGGAAAAAAGATGGAACAGCTGTCAAGACCCTCTCTCCCTCGCAGACGTAACCTGGGCAACGAATTGATCCATAAAATCTTAATATAATGTTTACTTGACTTCTCTCCTTCATCCTCTGCCATCCGTCAACTGATTCTAACCTTCTTGGTTGCCTTTCAATGGTCAACGACTTCTATTGATCCTCATGAAGGACAGTAACAAACTTCCAAATATCCAACTAAGGATCCTCCACCATCTGAAGATCGATTTATGGCAGAATCTCTACTGCCTGTATCTAACTTTTTTCAACTCAAGTTCAGACATGCTTAGGAACTTGGTAAAACCAATTAATACCATCCAACATACACCCAAGTTAACATCTAGAAAATCAGACTCCTTCCCTGGCATCTATACCAGAACAGAAGCCACAGTCAGTACACAGAATGAAACTGCAGCGATCTCCTCTTGACTATGACATACACATTTCTCAGTCTTGACCACGATCTCCACCTCTAATGATCAGAATACGGACTGACCCACTATGGTTAGCTAATTCCACCAAACCCCAACCTTTCTCAGATAGCTATTAGTATTACATCTATAAAAAGGGCCACCCACCTTAACTAAATGGCTCTCTCCTATCACTTCCATCCTCAATTATTACCTATTCGTAGTCGGGGATTAATATATGTGATTTTGGCCTTTAGATATCAGCAAACTACAAATTATAGGGATGATGGTCCACTGTAATTGTTATCCATACATAGTTCAAGTGAATGTGCTCCTAGTCATTAACTTGCTAAAAGCTTAAAAACATTTTATAGCATACATATTAAAGAACTGCTAAATTTTCTAGTCAGTTAAGCCCAGTATAATTCCAAAAAATATGTATGACAATTAAATATGAATTCAAAAGGCGCATCTTGAATTTTGACCCTAAGCAACTCTTACAAGTTCGTTAGGTAGAATTGCTTTCATTTTGGAAGTGCTAGCAGACACCTGACATGCCACTATTTTCAATGCAGCATCTGAAGGCACTTTCAGTTTACTGGGTTTAACTCCCAGCTTTTGCCTGCAGCCTGCAGCGCCGCAGTAACATTCTTGATCGGCACCAAATTGAACAAACCTGCTACATTTGTTAGTACACAATAGACAAAGCTTCTCTTAAAAAGTAAAACAGTTGGTTGATGCATAATGCATTGCTTTAAAAATATCTAATGCAATGCCATACTGATAATCATAGGTCAGATGCTCGCCCTTTCTAATATCGCGAGTTGCAAATATTCCGATCCTTGTTTCGCCATCAATTGTCCTAAAAGGAAAAGTAGGGTGAGAACCAAATAGAAAACAAATATGACCATAATCCAGAAATAAGTATCTGCCTCACCATTTCTGCATCTCAGTATTTGGACAGCAACTATGATTTATGTATCTTGACTTGTTTCCCTTGTAAGTGGCATCAATCACCATGTCTCGATTGATTTCGCATAGGTAAAAATTTGTTTCCCCACAATGTTTCATTTTCCAAAGTCTTTCCTCACATGTTTTATCATCAATAACTGCAATAGTAATAACATATTTCAGTTTAACTAATTTTTATGTGCAAGATAACCTAGCTCTTAATATAATGAACAGGCACAACTCTTAATTTTCACCTTCTCCAACATACTCTATCACAAACTCTCCTTGGTTAATATCTTCATCTGCCACAATGCCCAATCCACAATTTTTTGTCTGCAAAACAAACTTCAACTTGCGTGACATTTTAACCCATCAAAATAAATAAGCGACAATCAACGGACGTCTGACAAAATCACAAGTGGCTAAAAGGTGAAACAGATTACATAGATCTATATTTGGGAACATGGATTTGGCTAGGGATGTAAGCAAAAACTGCCAAACCGGAAAACCGAACCGAAATCGCATTTTAGAAACCATTGGTTTGGTGCCATGTGGACCCAACCAACAATGAACCAAAACGATTTGGTTTAGGTTTGAGAATTTTAATTGCAGTTTAAAACCAAACCGGACAGGCAAAAAAAAGGTCAAAATAAAAAATTGAAAAAATTGAAAATTTTTGGAAATTCATCCAAATATGTAAAATTCAATAATTTTGTCATTTGTGGATATTTTTGTCAATTTCTAATTTTCTAATACAGATATATTATTATTATCCAATAATCTTAATTTATATCTAATAATCTCAAGACTAACATAATATATCAAAAGTCATTTTCCTCTTCAGAATTTAGATGAATTCCAGTCGACACCCTACACAAACTTGAGCCACCGGCACCACACGCTTCTTTTTCAGATTTTTCACATATCTTCAAATTTGAATTGAAGTCCATTATACCAAATCGGAGACAAAAAGATCCTGGACCTTCGGTGATAATTTTTGCTGCAAATAAAGTTTCAGATAAATAATTTTTTTGGAGCAACCTAAAATAAGAATTTAAAATTAAATGTGTTTCGTAATATCGTACAAACGTAAACTTGCGTAATTGTTATATTTAAATATTATAAACAATTGAGTTATTATTGTGGTTGGTTATTTTTTTTGTCTAAGCAGTATCCTTTTTTCAGATATGATGATCACGAGGTCTAGTTGGACATCATTATGTTTTTTGGGTCTTATATCTAATTTAGCAGACTTGTATTGTAACGTTATTATATCGTCATTAGTCTAAAAAAGGTGAACAAAAAAGGAAAAAAAAACTATGTTTTAGTTTATTATGACTTCACTTTAATTTAGTTGGTATTTAAATTTATAGTAGATATATTTAGCCCCCTGTTTGAGCCATAATTTCCATATCATCATGATGAGAAAATTGACCGTTGGAGAGGAGGCTAGGTCCCACACATGAAACAGCAGGTCAACAAAGGCGGCTAGACTTGTGGGATAACGATCCAAATTTTCATTTTTGTCCCAAAAATTTGGTTCAAACAGGGGCTTAGTTTGTTTTATATTTATTGCTAATAATATATAAATATATATTGAATTTAATGAATTAAGGACATAAAAGTAGACAGGCAAAAAAATATACGAAGAAACCGACGGTTTAAAATCGGACCAAATCGTTAGGTTTAGGTCTGAGTTTTTTTCAAACCGTTCAAAATAGTTTGATTTAGGTTTGGATTTTTCTCAAACCGGTTTAAACGGTTTGGCTTGAAAATCTGTCAAAAATCGGTAAAATCGGATCGCTTATACCCCTACCAGCAATAATCCAAATTATCCAATTGATTTACATGACATCAATGTTCTTGAAGTCCAAGAGGAACAAGAGGAGGAACATGATTTAAACATTCACGATGCTAGAGAGAAGCGAAAGGATAAAAAAGGCAAAATATTGGGATTACTTTAAATTGATTTCGACGGACCATGTTGTCGATGGAGTCCCGGAGACCAAATCAGTATGTAAATACTGCTAACAAATATTGGCATGACAAAAAGGCATTGGTACCGCCCATCTCAACCGTCACTACAAAGCATGTGCTGCCAAATATAGACTTCTTCAAGTTGGTCAAATACAACTACAATCTAGTAGTCCAGAAGCCGATACTACAACTTCGCCACTCACCATGTGGATGTATTTTGAAGAGAATGCTCAAACAAGAATGGTGAAACTTATTGCTGGTGCTGAGTTGCCTCTCGCAATAGCGGATACCCAACATTTCGTTTCATACGTGAAAGAATATCTGCAATTGAGGTACGTTTAGGTAAGTCGAAAACTCTTCGTTCAGACACAATAGAGTATTTTTTTCAAATAAAACAACAATTAATTTTGGATTTGCAAAAATATGGTGATGTTATATCTTTAACTTCGGATGTATGGGAGGGGATTAATAAAAGAATTTATATAGCTGCAACTGCATACTGTATAGACCTACTTTGACGTATGCATAAAAAAATTATTGCTTTTAAAATTATTGAATTCCCACATAATGCTAATAATATATAATATAATTATGACTATTATAAAAGAATATCGTTGCGAAAGTAAAATTCCTTCTTTTACATTCAACAGCTCTAGTGTTAATAAAGTAATTCTCGATAAATTATGAAGGGTATTGCAACCTTTCGGTGGTTATTTGTTTCATATTCGTTGTGTGTGTCATATTTTAAATTTAATTCTAGATGATGGTTTGAAACACATTAAAGATGAAATACAAAAAATTAGGAATGTACTAATATATATCACGATCTCCCCTAGTAGAAAACAAGTATTTTGAGGAATTTTGTGCCGAATATGGGGAGCCGAATTCTAAAACATTTGTTAGTGATGTAGGTTATAGATGAAACTCTATTTACTTATTGTTAAAGTCATTTGAAGGTTTTGAATATTTAATAACTGTGTTTTACAACAATAGACATATTAAAAACGATGAGGAAACTACTATGAATGAATCTGATTGACTTTTAGCTTTTAAGGTTAAAAGATTTTTGACAAGTTTTTATGATAGTACAAATATTTTATCTGGAGTTTATATCCTACTAGCTGTATGGTGCTAGAATGTCTTTATAAAATTGCAAGAGTCTTTCATAAATACAAAAATGACCCTGATTTTAGTGCAATTATATACTCTATAGAATTGAAATTTAGAAAATACTGGAAAAACTTACCTAGGTTATTTCCTTTAGTATGCATAATGGACCTCGATATAATTTATTGGGAACTATATATATAATTGATCAAATTTCTAAATCTTTAACTTTTGGTACACTATCACATATAAAAATTTAGATCAAACTTTAAGTGAAATATATGATTTATATGCTTAACGAATGGGTACAAATGTTAGTCAAGTACCCTTTGCGCCTACTTCTTACACTGAAGAAGACGATGCTGAAATATATAATTTACTTCAAGGCAATAGCACATATATGTATGATTAAAATGCAATATGTTCATCTTCATCTAATAATACTTTGTCTGCTGCATCTCCATTGGCCCAAACATTGGAAGGAAGTGAAAATATTTTGCCTACTGAATTAATTGATTACTTTAATCATAATATGCCTACTAATAAAATAATTAAAAAAAGTTCCGAAGATGTTATTGAATTCTGGCGGCGGTAGGAACGATGATGACCAGTAGTTTCCGCAATTACAAAAAATTTACAAACACCTCCGATTAGTACTGTAACTTCGGAGTCTACTTTTATTGCAGGTAAGAGGATTTTGTCCGACGTTAGGAGCCGACTGAAAGAAGATATTTTAGAATCATTAATGTGCCTGAATGATTGGCGGGACGCTCATTTTCGGATACAAGATAAATATATCGAAATTGCATGTTATCAAGTAAGTGATATTTAATTATACCAATTTAATCACAATTTTTTATTTTTTAATATTTTATAATTATTTTTAAAAAATTGTATACGTTACAAGTTGTTTGTGTACAATTTTTAACTACGTCTACTCAAAATTTAAGTAGTCGTTCTCAAGTCCGAATAAAGGAGTAGAGTTTGTATTTTATCTATTTTAAAAAGAAAAAAATCATTTCAATCAAATCTTTTTGCTCGATTTATTCATTTTTTGTTAAAAAAAACATAGTTTTTGTTTTTTCGATTTTCAGTAAAAAAATAACTAAATAAATAAATAAATAAATAAATATATATATATATATATAGGCGAGCTCGACTCGCGAGCAACGAATCGAGCAGAAGCTCGGCTCATTTGTAGCGAGCTCGAGTTTGGCTCGTCACGAGCGCGAGCCGAGCTCGAGGGTTAAAAGGCGAGCCGAGCCGCCATCCCTAAACGAAATTATAATTTCTTACAATTCTGCATTTTAAATTACAAAGAATATAATTTTGGCATAATGTTGAATATAATTTCAACATTATGTGTTGTGCAATCTTTGATCTTGTTGGCTTGTTAAATTTAGGAGAGCTATTCAATGGAATCATAATTTCTTAAGATTTAGGTAATATGCGGTCTTCGTTTTCAATTACAAAGAATGTAATTTCAGCATAACGTTAAACATTCTAGTTGTTGACCGCGAAAATTGGACCTTCCACGTGGCCAACCAATAGCTACTCCACGTATTCCTCCCTACGCACAATCAGCGAACGGTCAGACGCACACAGCCGGGACCAGCGGGGGTGGTGGCGGCTTATAATTTTTCATGCTCATTATCACTGATATAATAAAAATATTTTACGTGTAAATTCAAAATTTATTGTCTACATTTTAACATTACATTATCTAAAAAATCACTATTCAAGCATTATTTTCTTCAAATTTCTTTCTATTTTCTTCAAATTTCTTTCTATTTTCTTCAAATTTCTTTCTATTTTCTTCAAATTTCTTTCTATTTTCTTCAAATTTCTTTCTATTTTCTTCAAATTTCTTTCTATTTTCTTCAAATTTCTTTCTATTTTCTTCAAATTTCTTTCTATTAAGCATCACATCACAAATACTAAAACACTAATCTAAGCATTTGTTTGTAAACTAATCTACTACATTATTTTTTCTATAATACTCATTTTCAACTACACATTTTTCGTTAAAATGGTATTACATTTAAATAAAAATAAAATCTTTCTTTTTTAACCACACATTTCAATATTAATCATTATTCCATAATGCACTTTTTGAAATTATAGGGGCACAAAAAGTGCCTAAATAGCGTTAAGCGATATGTTCGATAAAAGATACAATTAAATTGTTTATTTAATTATACATTTAATTTAATGTTACGTATTACCTCTTAGACTTCTATAAATTTAATGATTCACCAATTAATTGATGTGCTATGTTATCGTTGTTTAACATGAGTCAAGCACCGATACTTATATATATGTATGTATATTTCGTATATAAATCTCCACTTGTAAAAGAAGAAGAGAACCCAAGATGATTCGCTCGTGCTCCTGCTTGACTCGTGAATGTAAAATGATGTTTGATTTGGTCCATGACTCGTATGAAAACGAGCACAAGCTATCCATGGATCAAGTTGGGATGATTCTAGCCCCCAACCGAGGTGCAATATCATCCACATTGTTTGCGAATACACTCTCGTCAAAAAATATGCCACGTGTGAAATTTTGACGACCATATCATCAAATTTGTCAATTTTTAAAACGACGAGTGATTGTATAATAATAGTTTGATAAGTTTACTGATAGCTCGAAAAATTTATATTGTTCAATAGCGACTATAAATCACTTGAGAAAATGTGGTGATAACTTAGACATGTAAACTGCACATCGCATTTAATTGTCGAAAGTTATAATACCATATTTGTGATTAATTCGAAGTCGGGTGACTGATACATTATAATACCATAATTGCTAGTAATTCGAAGTTGAATGACTATTTGAATCAAACTGAAGAAGTTTAATGATATAACATTATATGTTGAAAATGAGTGACTCATATACAACTCTGTTCAAAGTTGGGTAACCCACAGTGCATTTATATTCATGGTTAAATGAAAAACGAGTTAATTGTTCCAATGGTTACTGAATTTAAGTTCATGTCTTTGATTGATCGCTGAAACTTAAAATGTCAAATTTTGGTCACTGAATTTAGGTCAATGTCTTCGATTGCTCATTGAACTTAGGTTCACGTCTTAAATTGCTCACTGAAATTTTAAATGTCCAGTTTTGACCACTGAACTTTAGAGAACATCGTACATTACTCACTGATATAATAGTTGAATTTTGAAAAATATCGAGTTCACAGTGAGTAATATACATCATTTTTCAAAGTTTAGTAAGTAATGTATAATATTTTTCAAATTTCAGTGACTAAAACTCGACATTTTAAATTTTAATGAGCAGTCAAAAATATTAACCTAAGTTCAATGATCAAAACTCGATATTTTAAATTTCAATGACCAATCAAAGACATAAATCTAAACTCAGTGACAATTGAAACAATTAACTCAATGAAAACACAATCTTCTATCTTCATTTCTAAACTGTGTTCCGCCAGCACATGATCTTTTCCCATAAAATTCAAAAGAATAAAAATAGAACCCACGCGCAACACCCTCGTTATGTACTCCTATTAACGAATCAAAGTCGACTGTCACTGAGTCTATCTACAATGCAGGTAAGGCAATCAGCGTCCAGTCAACCACGTGATCAGAACAAAAAACAGCATAAAATGAAAATGAATAAATGAAACAAATTTTTTTTTTATCCTTTCCCGTCGATGGAAAGTCTCTGAAAAAGAGAGCCAGAGAAAAATAAAAATTTCCCAAATTATCCATAACGAAAGGAAATTTCAATTTACAAATTATTAGGAGATATTAATTCACTTTCAAGATCAATTAGGAAATTGAAATAAGATTAGAATGATAATTGTTTTGTCAATGGAGTTATGGAGGATGATATACGCCTGTATATTGATGTGTATAGTGGCGGCATCTGCGACGTCGTTTCCGACGTCTTCGTTTACAGCCATGTGTGTTGGAGAGTCCAAAACGTTTCTCCACGATCTGAAGTCTCAGTGTCCTGCTTCGATCCCCTTCTCTTCTTTCCCTATTCAGGTATTTTCTTTTTTATTTCTTTATTTTTTGATTACATGCTGTGTGCGTGATTTGATTTAAGAGTTTATAGGGGCTGTTATTACAAATTTTGTTGGGGATAGATGTTTAATTGGTTTCAAATTCTTTATATAATTGGTTTCATTATTACTTGGTTTTGCAAGGATTGGCCTGGAGGTTTTATATTTTTATTGTTCACAATGTTAGGGTTTTTAACGGAGTTGTAGAAATTAAGAATTGTGTATGGCATAAACGTGTCTACTATACTTATTTGGGAAATTCATTAAGAAATTAGAATAAAAGGCTGTTGGAGTTGGAACTTTCTTTTTCCTTTAGGCCGGAAATTGAGCATGAATATGACAATTTTCCCAGGTATTTATAAAAAGGTTATTGATCTCTTTTGCAATGTTGGGCACACCAGCTTGTTTACCTTCTCGCAAAAAGTAATCACTTATCTCGACATACTATTGTTTTTGGCTTTAACACGTGGTTGACAATGAATTAAAAATTGCTTACCATAATCAATGAAATTGAAAATTGCTTACCATAACCAATGAAATAGTTGTAATTTCATAATAGCATGAAATTTCTTTTTTATTCTTTGTCCCCCCTAAATGTCTAATTATACCATGTCAGGAAGTGAGATCAAGCTTCCTTGGTTTGATGGAATTTGTAGGAAACTAATCTTTATTATTTCCAGCTTTTGAAGTTGGTGCCATATCTTTATGAGTATTGTATCATATGCTTCTGTATATGAGAACAATGTGCAATTGATGAAAACTATGACATTGATTATTATTTTTCTTGGTTTGATGTCCTTGTGCTTCATAATTATTCGCACACTTCCCTTGAATATTTGGAATCCTCCTTGAAAAGAATTCCTCTTTTTTTAATGTTTTTGTTATTTTCTTGTGAAATATTTCTTTTGTTTTGAAGTACTGTACTTGTCTTTCATCTGATAAGGTTCTAAGATTATTATTTTCGTGCACTAGGCTATATGGCATTTGTGACCCACCCTTACTGCACATCCTGTAAGCTACTCTAGTTCTTGCAGCATTTTAATATCATGGAATGCTGGGTTGTTAAAACTCTATTCATCTTGGTCTTCCAGAAGTTGAATTTTAACTTTCTTCTCATTTTCTTTTGGTTTAGGCCTTAGGAAAGGTCTCTCACGTATATGACATGACTAACCCTGGAAACCTAGTTTTAATATCATTTGAAAATGGTAAGGGCTGTGGCTTATGTTGAAACAGACTTACTCCCATGTATAGAACTCTGCACAACTTCCAATTTAGCACACCAAATTTATGTAGATACGAGAAGGAAAGCTAATTGTTGTCGTTGCTCTGTGTTTTTCTTTGCTCTTTTATTTTTTTTCCTTATCTTCTTTTTTCTTGGGGATGGGTTTTCGATAAACTGTATTTTCTTTGATTTTTCCTTTTGAAAACTATATTAGTCTTGAAGCAATTTATTAAATTAGACATGGATTATGACCATTGACTACCCATTATGAACGCAAGTATGAATATTGCTTCAAAAATAATGATGTTGGTTGACCACAACACTGCTAGCTGCAGTGGGTGTGATTATGGTTATGAGCAATGATGATTGCGTGATATGTCCTGTGAAATTGTAGTGCCATTCAATACTCCTTCATTCTCTTGTGACTTGCTTATTTATGAATCTCATCTTTTTAAGTGTCCTGTCATTTATTGACAATCCATTTGGCATTATAGATGGATGGAGAATCATTTGACAGAGCAATGAGCTCCAGTCAGGAGATTGTATATACTGCCGTTTTGTTTTATGCTTCTTGGTGTCCTTTTTCGAGCATCTTCCAGTCAAGGTTTGCTGCTCTCAGTTCTATGTACCCACAGATCAAACATGTAATGATTGAACAGTCTTCAGCCATGCCCAGGTCGGTTTATTTTTTGTTCCCTTTCTCTTACTCTTCCTCTTTTATGTTTATTCACATTTTTCGAGTAGATCAATGCTCCTGTTTACCTTTTCCCCTCCACCACCTAACTACCTGTATAAGAATAGCGCAAGGGGCTTTTTTCTTCAGCATTCTGGTTTAATTTCATGAATCATTCAAATCTGTAGGAAACCATTTATTCAATAGGATACAGGACTTCGTGTTCATGCAATTATGACATGATGGAGACTTGTGGTACTGTGACCACCCAAATTTTTAATGATTCGATTGTCACTAAAATTTAAAGTAAACTTAAATAAAAGGATTGAAATGAATAAATGGGATTTTTATAAAAATAATTAGGATTCAACATTATTCATAATAAGCGTATTTTTAAAGAAAATACGTTTGACATAATGAAATCTTAAAATGATTTCAACATAAATTAAATAAAATTCGACATAATTTCATGAAAATTATTTTTAATATCTCCTGATTGCATTCTTCTTCGCGTCGACCACCTTGAACTATTAATTTTCTGAAAGGGAAAAAGAACACAATGTGAGATAAAATCCTAATAAGTGCACGTGAGTAATTTTTGTTCTTGTTTATGCATTTCATGGAAAATTTCATACTTGAATAGAGAGACACGAAAATCAGTCCTAACTTAAATGGTACCAAATTTTTGTGTGTAGCGCTACTATACTTCAATCCGTCCATACAAATCTTATATATAACACAGATCATAACTTAACATAGCCATGAAATAACATATATGATTACCCACGTAATAACAACCATACCTTTCATTTGGACAATTTAAAATAATAGAAGAAGTGATTGTTGGAGAGAGATTCTTGAGCGGTGTGGTTGAGTATTCACGTGTAATTGTGTAAGTGTACAGCTATATTTAATATGAAAAGGACAAAAGAAAGAGTAAAAACAGAGAGACAAAGTAATAGAGGTGGAGAGAGAGAGTGAGAGTGTGTAAATAGTTGGTGAGGGGTAGTCTAGTGTTGGGTTTGTCTCTTATTTATATAATAAAATCTTGGAATATGTGTAGAAAAGCGAAAGAAAATGGCTAGATGCTAGGCATGGTCGGTGCCTAAATGGTGTATTGTCTTGAAAGTGGTCAAATCAATACCTTTAATCGTGTGGTCAAATCATTTGACTTGGCTTGAAACTTGGTATAAATGATGCACGTTGTCAAATGAGTTACCTTTATTTTCGTGATCAAATCAATTACATTGGCTTGAAATGTGATATGAAAAATGCATGTGGTCAAATAAATTCTCTTTAATAATGACCAATTGACTTAATTACATGTATTTTAAGTATGATTTCATTTAACTTCCAAAATAACTCTCTAATTAGGTCCTCAAACTATTGGCTAGTAACCAATAATGTCATTAGACATGTTCAATAACCAATAAGGTCATTAGACTTCTATAATAGTTAACTTGAATCATAAATTTAAATTTAACAACTAGTTGTAAAAATTCAGGTCGTTACAGGTATACTGGAGACTACTTGACTCGTGAATATTTTTCAGTCCATTTTTTCCAACGAATAATAGGATTTGAGTATTTAATAGTGACATTTATAAATTTTTGTTTACAAGGTAGAAATTTTATTAAGTGGCGATGTCTCCCTTTCTATCCCTTAATGCGTGTCTATATAGATAGATAGGTCAGGTTTTTAACTTACCATCCTCATTCAAGTATCTTCTCATTGCATGAATCAACTTTCTTGTTTGTGTGTTATATGCAGTGTTTTCTCTCGATATGGAATTCATTCAGTGCCCTCGCTACTGATTGTGAATCAGACAGCACGAATGAAATATCATGGTCACAAAGATCTCCACTCCCTTGTGAACTTCTATAAAAGAACTACAGGTAGCATCCCTGTTCAGAAGTCTATTTTCTGGTTGCTGTTGAGGTGATGTAGAGGAATAAAGTTATTTATTATTTCATAAGTCCTCCATCTCCATTTTTTGCTCCTTATATAACATGAGTAAATTGTAGGCTAAATTGTGACCTGTGTCCCCAACCTTGACCTTATTTTCACGTATATCACCAATATTTTTGACACCCATGACCTCAACATTTCGTATAATGGCAATTACTGCCCTCTTGGACGGATTAGGTCCAAAATCATTTTTAATACAATGTAGTAAGACACGATTAACCGTCACTTTAGATAATAAGAAAGTTACAAATCCAAACAAAGCAATAAACAGTAAAAATCTACTATTTCCCTTTTGCATGAGCTTACCCTTCATCTTCCCTAGCCTCTGCCTCACGCCCACCCACACACACATTGCAACTGCAACTGCCACTACCCAAACCCCACGGCCCAGTGCAATTCCAGGCCACCACCATAGCCCCACAAAACTCTTTTTTGTAATATACAGGTTGCACACATACAGCCATCCAATTTCTCAAGGAAAAAATTATTTCAATCCCACTCACTCTGCTCAAAACAATCTCCAAGACTGCATGTTAGAATATAAGTTATCTGCAAAGAATAATGTTACTCGTACATAATGAAGTTATACGATAGTTTACATACAAATGAGATATCATAAAGTGAGTGAAAAGGGTTTTCCTTTTTTTTTTTTTTGATGAAGAAATTCTGACCTCATCATATTTCACCATGTCATATGTATGTAAACCATTATATACATAATATGTATGTAAACCATTATATACATGTAGCACGACCAATCTACAAAAAGTACATGTCTAACCCTTGTCATATGCTTCTCCTTGTTAAAATTTTTCAAAAGAAACATTAATAATTTTTTAACTTATATTTTCTTTTGATTTTTGAGTATGTGAAGTACTACTTTTGAATGCAAGAGGTTGTTTTGGCTGAAGTTGTGTTTTCTTGGATAGATCTTGTAATCCTCCAACAACAGGGAGGGGTGAAATAGTTATACTTTGCAGAGAGGTTAGGCTAGTGGTGGAGGGTGTGGGTGGAGGTGGCTGTGAGCGAGGCCGGTGGTGGTGGGCTTGTTGCTAAAGGTTAATGAAGAAGTGTTTTGTGATCATTTAGTTTTTTTTGTGATCATTTAGTTTTGTTGTTTTTTCCTTTTTCTTTATTATTATTTTAATACTGTATTATCATTGATTTGGACGTAATCCTTCCAAGAGAGCAGCAATTGCTATTTTTGAAACATTGAGGTCATAGATGTCAAGAACTAAAGGTTGAGGATATAGGTGCAAATTGAGTCAAAGTTTGGGTACACGGGCATTAATTTGGCCTAGATTTTTGCACCCTTTTGGAATTACCAAAAATGCATTTTAATCATTAACTTCCTGGAAGGCTTATTTGCTTGCACCATAACGTTGACATTAAATCTACTTCTGCTTTAGTTTCTGCAGATCATCTTTACTTCTCTTGACGGGTGTTTCTGTTCTTCTTGTTTTCCCATCAATGTTTAGATATTAATTATCTTGTATGGTTCATTTCTCATGGGTATGTAGATACATATTGCTACTCAACGTTTACATGCTTCATATTTTTATTATCCGTATATAATGAAGCCTCCTAAATAGGCAGGATCACACATGTAAATATGTGGGCTAGGCTGTGCGTCTTTCATGCGATATTGGGAAAGGGTTGCATTTCACTTTCAGTTGGTCATCTTTCAATGAAGTAACAGTTTTAATTTCTTTATTATACAAACCTGATTTCTTTGATGATCCTATTTCTTCGAATGTTTGGTTATCAATATTTCTGTTGCCTGTTGCTATACGTTTTTTTTCTCTTCCGTTACCTATATATACATATATTTCTTTTGTCTATTGGTTAGGGCTTGATCCAGTAGTGGATATGAGCGAAGATAAAATAAATTCTTCGGAGAATGATCAGAAAGTCCTTCAGCTTTGGTGGGGTTCTTCATTGAAGGGGACATTTTCAAGAGAACCTTATCTAGTGCTTTCTGTAGTATTTGTCTTGTCTAGGGCTTTTCTATATTTTTTTCCGGAGATTGTATTTCGTGCAATGGCATTGTGGCTTGCGCACATTCCTCATCTGAATATGGGAGTCTTTGGAGAGTCGAGGCAGCTTTTAGGACGTGTTTTCCAACTGATTGATATCAAGAGAATTTGGAGCAAGTTGAAGCTGTGTAAAACTAGGAACTTTCATAAAGGGGCTAGAAATGCTCGGGTTTGGGCTTCATCTCTGGCATCTGTTTCCTTGGGCGAGTCGTCCTCAACCAGAGCATTCCCATCCAGGGACTTGTAAAATAGCTCGTGTGCGTTTCATCTTGAATCTTCCTAGCGACCTGGAACTTGTTTGTATCAGATTTGCAAGAACTGGCTTCAACAGCACTTAGATTCAAGTTCTCTTCTAGTAAGCTTTGCTCTATCCTATGTCGTCCTTTTGTTTTGAGAGTACTGATATATGAAACCAACATATGTCCCATTCAGCGTCTCAGTAGTAGAAAGAAATCAGTCGAGTAAATTTGAGAACATATATCTTCGATGTATATTACCTAGTAATTGAGAGAGATCCAGACTCGTATAGTTGAAGTTTGCAATTTTGATCACGATTGGTTGTCTTTGAAGATTAGCATTATATTGGCGATTACATAGAGCGTCGCATGATGCTTTATGTACCCCTTCTTAATACGAAGTATATTGGCCATCCTCTGATCTGATATTTTAAAGAGCTTTTTCACCTACTATAGTTGTTTCTCAAAAAGGCCTTTGTTGATGGCAGGATAACAATTTTGCCATTTTCAAAATGGCCTTTCTTTGTCCTTTTAACTAAAATGATTAAAGAAAAACTAATTACCAATGTTTTGAAAATCGACCCGGTTTAAGGGTTAAAAGGTTCAACCGAGATCAAATGGAGATCAAACTGGATGCAATAAATACATAAAAAAATAAAAAAATACTATGAAAACAATATATATATATATATATTTTTAACTGATTCATTATTCTATAATTTGTCAACTTTTTTGTTATGTTACCATCCCACAATGAAAGTTTATGAACCATTGGAGAGATGTGCATCTATAAAATGCATTATTCCACGTTGGAAGTTGGGATGAATGCGGATCGGTTTATACAGTTTGTGCTATATTTTTAATTCAAACCATTTTATGCGGTTTGAAATTTTTCCAAAACAAAATAAACTAAATCATTTTATTTTTCAAACCAAACTAATCCAAATCATAATTTGTTGTTTGGTTCGATTTTAATCCGCAATTTACCTATCAATATTATAGTAATATATTTAACATAAGTTAATATATAAGTTTAAATGAGAACTAATAATGTTAAATGTTAAACTACATTCATATTTATTATGAAATCAATGAATAAATTATTTTCAAAATTTGTTGCTAAAAGATGTTAATAGAACAAATACATATTTCTTCATTTTTATTTACGTTTTCTTGTTTGACATTCATATTGTCATATAGAGGTTGGTAAAATAAAATTACATTTTTCTATTATAATTTGGTTAAAACTCATTTCGTCTTGCTAGTGAGATATTAAATAAGAATCGAAAGGAATATGTTTAGTTGTACAAAGATTGATAGAGTTTCGACTTATTGAAATTGACAAATTTCTTCACTAACTACTTTATGAAAGTAGAAGGTAGTAGTACTGATTAAGGAACTTTAACAATGTTACCCATCAATATGATTCATCCTTCGTTCTTCCCAAGCCACAAACCAGTTCATTAATTATCTAGGTACACAAACAATTATTTTTCTATCCAAACCACAATTCACAAGTATATAATAAGTTCAAAAATAACATATAAAAGAAAGAATAACGAAAAAAATGGCTCGAACGAGAATTTGAGGCTTACAGAAAGAGAAGAGAGAAATAGGTGATTCAGGTAGAAATTAGCATAATAACATGCAAAGGTGACTGGCAATTCGTTCAACGGTGGCAGGTAAGCGTCGAATGTTATTGAAATGAGAGTGTATATTAGAGTTTTTGAAACTTTGGACGTGATTTGTTGACATAGTTGTTGAATTATGTTTTGAATTGTTGAAAATATGCCTTTTTCATTTCATTTCATCTAATTTCGGAATAATTTTAGTTTAGTTTAGATATCGGGTGAGGACATGTGTTGTGCTTGTTAAACCATAGGTTAATAATGATGAACATAATTTACTTTCTATGATTATTTCAATAGACCGATTGTAATTTGTATTCCTTAACAAAATTAATGTTTTAATTAAAAAAAATTAAAACAGTTCAATTCGGTTCTGTGTGATTTTTGAAAATCAAAATCTAAACTAAACCATTTTGAAACCATTTGGATCGGTTTAAGAAAAAAACCACGGGCCCAAGTGGACCCAAACCAACTATTTCAACTCAACGGTTTCGGTTCGATTTGCGGTTTCGCGATTTTTTTGCGCAGCCCTAGTTGGAAGTTTATAAAACCATTTAAAAGAGGTGTATCTATAAAAGAAGCATGTCATTCAATATTTCTCTATAGACCTTTGAATTTTTGTTTATAAGGCCCATTCATGAAGTTGAAATTTTTTTAAACTAAAAAAAAAGGGAAAAGCACAAAATCGCGACTGATTCACCGGTTTACAATTAAACCTGTCGGTTTGATGGATTTTTAAGCAACTTAGTCATAAGCAGTTAATCGAGCATGATTAACATAGTTTTGGCCCCGGTTCTCAATTTTTTCGGCCTGACCTGGCCGATTTTGATAACAATTACCAAATGTATTTAGATACGCCCTGCCAGTTTGACCGATGAAACTGGTTCCCAGACCCAAAGTAACGTGTATTGGCGGAAAAAACCATTTTTCTAAAAATCGTCTAAAAAATTTGTCGATCCATTCAATATGATGAAAATAGTTGACCTGTTATCGGTTCAAAAATTCATCTTTCGATTTTATTTTTGAAAAAAATCATCGGGTGAATCCCAGTTTGATCTTTGAACATTTTTCTTTTTTGGATCGGTTTTTAAAACATTGCTATTTACCATAAGCGTAATAATGATACTTATTTATGCAATTAGTTGAATAATAATTAGCAATTAGAAGTAATTTGAATAAGCCGGAATGAGTTGGAGTGACTAATAGTGGGCCCTACCACCCAACAAACATTACAAGTTGTCATACCTTCGGCTTCATGTGCACACCATATGATAGACTTATTTCATTTTTTCCATTTTAGCTTTCCACTTTTCTTCTTTAGTTAACTTAATCACACTAAGATTAAAAATCATTTAAATGATTAAGAGGAGTGACTGTCTCATGTGGTGGATGGAATCAGATATTTAAACTGAGATTATATGTTGGCATGAATAAGTGGACTTTAGATAATTTACACATCATTCATGTGGTAGGTAAATAACATGTATGTGAATAAAAATATAGCGCTTGTTTGAACCTCATTTTGAGGAGGATAATGTATTTTGAAATAGTGTTTTTTTGGAAAATATATGATCTGTTTTTTATTTACATGTAAAATTATTTTATTGGAAAACGTGTAATTGAAAATGAGTTCGATAAAATGGAGCTCAAGCAAGGGCATATTCGAGTTTCCCGAAGATTATGTGCTAAGGATCGAAACTATGTGTAGGTCAATCATTTTCTACATAAATTTGTAGGAAAAGTGATATTAGGTGTGTGGATGAAATCTTTTGGTTTTATGTATAGAAATCTCAATGGAATATGGTACGATCCTGTTTCCTTCGAATTCAAAATCAAACTCCATTTGACCATATCCATTCTATGTTCTAGTCTAATTTGATCTTGTCAATGTTTATAGAGTTTACTTATTAAGGACTGAGTTACATGTGCGGCTGTCATCCAATTTGTGTGTACAGGCATCAATTCCCAATGATTAATGCTACGTAGAGTCAGTACACTGGTGGGGGTGGGGGTGAAGTTCACGAACTAAAAATTTATTAATGATAGTTTAGGAATTTCAAACTTATAATTTCAATTTTGTTTTAATTTAATTTAATTTTATATACAAAGAGTCGTCATATCATCAAAAGAGATGTTAGAAAAATAAGTGTGCAATTTTTCTCTTCTAAAACGATGGACAAGAATATAATCTCAAACATTGAAGCTAACGCCCATAAATCTTGCATTTTTTTTCTTCTTTGTTCTCTTACAACAATTTTATTAAATTTAATGGTATATAATTAAAATTTATAATTCTCCACGTAGAATTCTAATTAACATGTGAGTTTAGTCCACTTAATGGGACTAGTTTTCATCGAAATCAAACTGAACCGTACCACGCTCACCTTTTGGTCTGTGTTTGTTTCTCATTATTTGTTCATTAAAATGAAAAATATGAACGTTATTCATTACATCATGTCATCATATTTGACTTTTTATCTCTTGTGTTGGATCCGTAACAGCTATATTTTTCATTCTCATTTTTGCGTTAACGTGGCTCAAACGGGCCTTGATATAATTTTGTTAAAATATACATACAAGAAATTAAAGAAAATCAAAATCAAATACTAAACAAGTCAAAAGATACATGTCTACCATCCTCATCTCGAACCATGGTAAAAAAGCAAATCACCACACGTTACAAATCTTACACCAGAAGATTCAAGACAATAAAAATTAAGTTAAATAAGATCAAAAGCAACATGTTTCGTACATTATTGGACGATACCGGAAAATACTGTAACACGAACAAAAGAAATTAAGGCGAGTGGCGAGCATGCATGAGAATATTGCATTCAGAGGAGAAGACCAAAACCAAAAGCGAGGGCTGTAAGTGAGGCAAAGAAGGTTGGTACAAAGAATGGGGCGTCGGAGGTGGGGCTGGGTGAAGGAGCATCTGCGGCGGCGACGCCTTTGACGGCGGTGAGTGTCATCGTCGTGATGAGCATCAATGCAACTGCAAACATCTTCATCTTCATTGCCTCCATTGCAAAATTCTTAGATAGAGAGAGAAAGAGGCTCTGTAACTCCTCCGTGAAAAAGATAGGATGTGTTTAGAGAGAGAGGGAATGGAGGAGACTGTGTGGGCGAGATTGGGCTCCGTGGTGGGGTTATATATAGGCAAGTTGAAAAGAGAGAGAGGAACTGCGGGCAGCAGCCCGAAATGAAGATCATTATATTAAGGATCATACTACATATACTCACATTATTGTACAAAAAGTTTTACTTACACTCACAATAGGGGTGGGGACCACACAGCCGGCATTTTTGAATTCATGTTGGGTCCGCATTTTTTGTGAGTATGTGTAACCCATTTTGTCTAAGTTTGTGAGTACATATATATTAATCCTTATACTAAAATGGCTGTTTTACCCCATTTTTATTGAAAAAATTTTGAATAATAGATTGATGGAAAATGTGCTATTAAAAAATAAAATTTTTTTTATTTACGTATAATATTATTTTAATAAAATATGTGTAGTTGAAAAGAAGAGAGAGAAAAATATATTTTAAAAAAAATTGGAAACAAACAAAGTCTAATTAATGCTATCTAATGGTGGCCATGTGGATACTTCGAGTTTATTCTACAAGAATAATGACATCTGACACAGATTTATGTGACATTATGTCCCCATTTGAGCCGTATTATTGTAAAAATGAGAATGTAATATATAGTCGTTATGAGCTCCACACAAGAGAGAAAATGTCAAATATGGTGGTTTGATGTGATGGATAACGGTCATATTTTTCATTTTAATGAGAAAATAATAGGGTTCAAACAGGGCCTATATTATAGGTTTGATTAAAGATAAGATTATATAATTCGTTTAATTATATATTCCATTTTAGTGTACTCTAAATTAGTTTTGTAATACTAATGGTTCTAAATAGTATTACATTTTCTACAAACATACACTTAGCTTTAGGGCTGGACAAAATTCTCAAAATCGAACTAATCGAATCAGACCTAAATCGAAATAAATTGAATCGAGTAGATCCTCTTAAATTAAGTATCTGAATAGGGTATTTGAATCGAGAATCGACAGATTTGATTCAATTATCTGTTCTAGATGAAGAACCGAATTTTTCTAACTTTTTTTTTATCATAAATAAACTAAACTATTTTTATTTTTTTCTAAATAAATTTGCTAACTAATTAATTTAGCCCAAACCCAAAATATAATTTTCCTATTTCTGATTTTCAGCCCAAGTCTAATTTAATCAAATTGACTTAAGTTTTATCCAAATCTCTTATTTTATCTTGGTGTCGTTTTTGCAGTTATAGAATCGAGCTGGAAGCTCGATTGCACCTCTTTTCATTATTGTGGACTAGCTATCTTCCTCTTCTTGTAATTTTAACAACCAAATCTATCAAAAACTTAACAAAAAGAGATGTAAAAGATATCAAAGAATTGAACTATGTTATTTTGTAAGAAATAAAATTGAGCATGTTATTAGTTAAATTAATGTAGCGTTGCAGTAAATATTAAAAAAAATAGTTATAGTACGGATCTCGGGAATCGAACTGAATCAAACCCTAACAGTTCCATAATTAAATTTGGACTCGACGATTCTACTTACTAAATATCCAAAATTCGGGTTCGATTCGGTTCTATTCTAAAGAGTACCGAATCAAATCGGACCATGTTCGTAAAGAAGAACAAATGATAAAGAAGGACAGATGTTCTGCTGTAAGAAAATACTTTGTGTATTACAATTGTTTGACTTTTGTACACTGATTGCAATGAGGGCAGCAAGCTATATATACACATAAACCAAAAAGCTATACTAGGAAGCCTATTAAGAGCGAATCAATATACAAGGAATATCAGCAAATTTACAGCAACCTGTACATGATTTGTGACTGTAGACTGGTTGATTATCCATGATTTTAGAGCTAAGATTAACGTGTCCATGATTTGCTCCTATAGACTGGTAGTGTGACCAAGATTATAGGGCTAAGATCAAGGATCCTTTTCACGCCCCCGCAAGACAGTGCTTCCATCGGCAACACCGATCTTGGTGCGAAGCTCTTGAAAGCGAGCCTTTGAAAGAGCTTTCGTCATGAGATCCGCAAGTTGATCACGGGTAGATATATGAGATACATTGAGCAGGCCTTTGTTAGCATAGTCCCAAACAAAATGAATATCAATGGCAATATGCTTCATGCGGGAATGTGGAATAGGATTTAAGCTGAGCTGAGTGGCACCAATATTGTCACAGTATAATTTTGATACAACAGGGAGAGTCGTCTGTAGTTCTTGAAAGGGGGAAGTGAGCCATGCTATTTCCGAAGCAGTAGTCGCAAGAGCATGATATTCAGCTTCGATGGAGGAGCGCGCAATAGCGCGCTGTTTTCGTGTGCTCCAGGATATAGGATTGTTGCCAAGATAAATGATGTAGGCTGAAGTGGAAGTTCAGTCACCCATATTGCCTGCCCAATCAGAATCGGAGTATGCAATGAGATGAAGACATTTAGTTTTGCGAAGTCGTAGACCATGATAAAGAGTCGCTTTGAGGTATCGTAATAACCGTTTAGCTGTTGTCCAATGTGTCACCGTTGGTCTATGCATAAACTGAGCAAGGCGAGAAACCGGGAAAGCAATGTCAGGTCTCATAAGAGATAGATATTGAAGTGAACCAATAATTCGACGATACTCCGTGCAATCAACAGAGATTGTGCCATCATCCAGGCGGAGAACATTAGAGGTAGACATTGGGGTCAAAATCTCTTTCGCATTGTCAAGGCCTGTTTTAGAGAGTAATTCCCTAATATACTTATACTGAGATTAAAATATACCGTCTGTGGTGGGGATAACTTCAACACCCAAAAAGAAACTTAATGGGCCAAGATCTTTGAGAGAGAAGGCCTTGCCCAAAGAAGTGATAACCTGCTGGATAAAAGTGCTGGAATTTCCTGTGAGAATGAGATCATCCACATAAATGAGAAAATATGCAGTTAGATCATCCATATGATATATAAATAAGGAGGAGTCGGCTTTAGATTGAGAAAACCCCATTTTTGTGAGACAATCACTTAATGCATGATACCAAGCCCGTAGGGCTTGTTTGAGTCCATAGAGAGAGCGATGAAGCTTGCATATATGATGAGGCGTGTTGGGGTCAACAAAACCAGATGGTTGTGCCATGTAAACTTCCTCAGTCAAAGTGCCATGGAGAAATGCATTGTTGACATCTAGTTGGCGAAGAGGCCAACCCCTAGACACGGCAAGAGTAAATATCACGCGGATTGTAGCTGGTTTGACTACATGAGAAAAAGTTTCTTTATAATCCAAGCCAGGTCGTTGGTGGAAACCTTTAGCCACTAATCTGGCCTTATAACGATCAATATTGCCATTTGGTTTCCGCTTGATGCGATACACCCATTTGAAACCAATGGGATTATGATGAGGAAGTTTCTCGACAAAGGTCCAAGTTCCATGTTTAATAGGGAAGTGAATTCCTCACTCATAGCCTGGCGCCAAAGAGAATCCTTCATGGCCTGTGATACACAAGTGGGCTAAAGAGCAGTTGGCAGTGAATGTTTAGACACTTGGTATATCTGCTTGGGTTGGTAGATATTATTCATGGCTCGTGTAATCATGCCATGAGTACGGACCGGTGCAGCAGGTTTCGATGGGCCAGATGTAGCACTTGGGTTACTATCCAGAGAAGTGGCTAATGTAGTCTGCGAAGGACTCGGATCTAAGGGCTGCTGCTGAGAGTGATGTGAAGGAGTTGGGTTTGGGGAGGACTCAACAATAGGATTAGAGTATACATTGGGCATATCTATTGGAATAATGATAGGTGGGGCGAGACCACGGTGGGTGGACTCGTGTGGATAGGCTCAGAAGTTGGCTTTAAGCAGAGAGAGGGGAATTCATTTTCGTTGAATTGTACATGGCGGGAAAGATAAAGTCGAGATGTTGCGAAATCTAAACACTTATATGCACTCTAAGAGGTAGAGTATCAAAAAAAAATACAGGCACGAGATTTGGAGTCTAGCTTATGACCAGTATAGGGTTTAAGCCAAGGAAAACATAAGCAACCAAATGTCCATAATTTGAGATAATTTGGCAATGTCCCAAACAAACATTCATAAGGTGAACTATATTTTAGGGCTAGGAATAGGAGTCCATTGATGAGGTAGACAACTGTTTGAAAAGCATAAGGGTAAGGCAGCTTGCGTAAGGAGGGTCATTCCAGTTTCAACAATATGTCGATGTCGTCTCTCTAAGATGCCATTATGTTGGGGTGTGTGAGGTGGAGTGGTAAGGTGGCTGATCCCATGATTTAGAAAATATGACTTTAACTTGATATATTCACCACCATTATCTGAGTAGAAACTTTTAATTGGATGATCAAATTGTTTTTCCAACACAGGTTTTAGGTGAGTGAAAATTTGACAGACATCAGATTTTTGGTACATGGGAAAAAACCAACAATAGCGAGTATAGTGGTCAATAAAGATTACATATTAGCGATATCCATCAGAGGATTTGTGTGGGACCCTCAACATCGGAAAAAATATATTCAAGAGGATTATGACTTACAATGGAGCTAGTGCCAAAAGGTAATTTATGACTTTTATTGAGACGACGTGAGGTACAATTATTCGGTGGAACAGAATTACGTAAAGGAAGCGAAAATTGTTTAACAATGTGAGAAACAATTTTCTGAGCAGGATGACCTAAACGACGATGTCAAGTGTTGGTGGAGGTACGCTCACCCACATTGGCAATAATTGATGACTGTGTTTTGGCTAGAGGCGGAAGAGGATAGACACCATTTTCACAATCACAGCGTAGCGGTATCGCCCCCATGGTCCGATCCTTCACAAAAAAATAATCAGGATGAAATTCAATTAGTACATTATTGGACTTGGTAAAATGATGCACAGATATGAGATTCTTATGCATTTCAAGAACACATAAAGTATTGGTAATATGAAATGAATGCGAGGGATAAGAGAGGCCAAGAGAGCCAACATGAGTAACTGATAAACCTTTACCATCACCAATTACTACTTCATTAGTGCCATCATATTCAGAGTGGATGGAGAGGTTAGACAAATCGGATGTGATGTTGTGAGAAGCACCAGAGTCAACCAACCATTTCTTGTATTTAGCAAGTGATTTACCAACGAAGTTGGCCGCACAAGAGGTCGAGGTAGATAGCTTTGGACAAGATTTAGCAGTGTGGCCAAGAGTATCACAATATTGGCACTTGAGCTTGCGAAAACCATCACGGGATGAGTGGAGTTGGGTCTGACTCGATGAAGTGCCTCGAGTGAAGTTTTTGCGATGGCCACGATAGGTGAAATTGCCACGTGTTGCTGGGTTTGCTGTAACAATCAACGTATTGGTGGCAGATTCAAGGAGCTTGAGATATGTCTTATGACCAACTAGCATGTCGTGCAATTCCTTGAATGTCAAGGAAGTGGTGCGAGTGTGGATAGGAGCAACAATGTCACGATAATCAGGACCTAGTCCATGCAAGACATAGAGTGTAATATCATCATCAGATAGAGGAGTATCAATGAGAGCCAATTCATCCACAATGCATTTGATACTGTGGAGATAGTCAGTAATGAGTTTGTCACCACGTTGCATGAGAGTGAGTGCCTCTTTAAGTTGCATTACGCGTGTTCGTGACTTGTTGGCATACAAGTGAGAAAGCTTGTCCCAAGTGTCACGGGAGGTTTTTGCCGAAGCAATAAGAGGAGCAATTTGTTCCGAAACAGAAGCCAAGATGGCATTCAAGAGGAGCTGATCCTGTCTAAACCAGCGAGTATAGGCAAAAACATCATTTGCCGAAGTGGTTTTGGTGGGTACAGCTGGACATGGGAGGGTTCCATCATGATGCCCCATAATACCGTACCCAAAGAGGAGGGAAGAGAAAGTAGCACGCTAGGTTGGGTAGCTGGAAGTGGTGAGGCGCTGTAATTGGCTAGTATTTACGGAGATTAAATATTGTTCAGAAGTCTGACCACCAGTGGGGTGAGAGACAATCGAAGAAGTCATGGCGGAAGCAGATGGATCGTACTCGTTAGAGTCAAAACGCTCCGATGCCATAAAGAAGAACAAATGATAAAGAAGGACAGATGTTCTGCTGTAAGAAAATATTTTGTGTATTACAATTGTTTGGCTTTTGTACACTGATTGCAATGAGGGCAACAAGCTATATATATATACATAAACCAAAAAGCTATATTAGGAAGCCTATTAATAGTGAATCAATATACAAGAAATAGCAGCAAATTTACAGCAATCGTGTCCATGATTTGTGGCTATAAACTGGTTGATTATCCATGATTTTAGAGCTGAGATTAACGTGTCCATGATTTACTCTTGTAGACTGGTAGTGTGACCAAGATTATAGGGCTAAGATCAAGGATCCTTTTCAGTTCGGTCCAACTTAGCCATGCTTTTTTTTCTTTTTCTTTTTTCTAAAAATCAAATTTTAATAAATGTTGATAAGATATACAATTAAGAAATTGATAAAAAAAAAATGTGAATTTATTGATCTCCTAAACACCAATATTTTTAGGTGACATGTCACAATACAATAGACAATGAGAGATAATGGTTGGTTACAAAATTGATTATATCACCTATTGCAGTGTGTCACGTCATCTGGATGTTAAGCACCCGTGTGTTAAGAGATCAATAAAATAGACATATCTCGTTTTCTTAATCAAGCTCATTAGCATGTTTGATTGGACTTATTTCTCATGACGAAGCCATCTTTAAACCAACCATAAATTGATAAATGACGAAGCACGCCCAAGTAGACTTTATTGGAAATGAAAATTGAACGGAATTAGAAACACAATGTTTCTGCGTTTAGTGGTTGTAAATGGACAACTCTCTCTCTCTCTCAAATTTCAAGTTAGGCTAGACATTTAGGTTTTCAAACACACAATATGTATAGAAAAATACATATAGAAATCCTACAGAACACTTACAGTTGCGGGGTGGGTGTTCTTTTTTTTTTTTTTTTTTTTTCACATGGGGTCCACCCCCATTGGACCCAATGTGAGAATCTGTATGAATTCTGGTAATAGAATTTCTGTACGTATGGCTTTTGTATTAGGTTTTATGGTGGGAAATAATGTTAAATTCATTAATGGCCACCTAATTTTATAATTAGCGTCACAATGATCATTCAATTTAATTTTGTTTAACCATAGTTGCCTAACTTTATTTTTAGTGTCATCATGATCACCCAATTTAATTTTATTACACAATGGCCATCCAATTTCATATAACGTTTCACCATGACAAACCATTTTTTTTTAAAACCATTTTCACTAGTTTTAAAAGGGGGTAAAATAGTAATTTTACATTATATATAAAAAATAAAACTAAAAGTTTTTTTATTTTGAAAACCTTTTTTTTTTAAGAAAATTAAGTTTTTATTTTATTTTATTTTATTTTATTATTTATTAATTAAAAAATTCATCCAGACAAGCAAAAACTGTCCAGACTATACTGTCCGGATTGGCAGAAACTAGCTGTCGTCCGGACGTCCGGACCGTCAGTATAGTTTTTTTAAAACACAGATTAGAGACTCCAACGCAGAGGAAGAAGAAGGAAAAAAGAAAAAAAAGCCTGCACAACATATCAAATGCACCGATTTCATTTTCTTGAAAGTGAAAACAAACCTGTAACGATCTATTACAATAGAGAAAATCTCAACATAGTTTGTTGAGAGATTCAAAATCTGTTCTTTATTATCACATAAAATTATCTTCTTCCGGGTTGCTCTACAAAGAAAGCTGAAGTATTGTAATTCCTTCTTTCTCTTTTTTACTGTTTTTCTCTTCGTGGTTTAATTGGATTAGGCTAATGGGTTATTAGATTTTGCAATGCTGTGTATTTAGATACTTTTGGGAAGTATTTCCCATAGATCTTGAAGTGGGTTTTGATTTTTGTTAATATCTACATTTTCTTGAATTTGAAGTCAAAAATCTCAGATGGGTGACTAAATTTATGGGTTTCTTTTTGCTTGGTTTTGTTGCAGATATTTACACGTGTATATAGATTCATACATGGATAAGTTGCAGTGGGGGAACAGGAAGAGACTGAGATGTGTAAAAGTGAAGGACTCATCTTTGAATGGGAAATCAGATGGAGATGGAAGTGGGAGTGGTGTTGTGAAGAAGAAAATCACATCGAGGGTTGTCGATAATAACAATAATAGTAGTAATAATAACAAAGAATCATCTGTTCTTCCTCCTATTCCATCTCCTCATCGTTCCAACAGGTAACAAGATTAAGTTTAAATAGAAATAGATTGATGCTTTTTCTTTTTAAATTTTGAAAATTTGCATTGAAAATATTGACAGTTCTTGAAATTTGGGCTATGATTCTTGAAATTTGTAGTTCTACTTTCTTGTGAAGTGGAGATTTACTTGTTCACTAAATACATATTTTAGGGTAATTTGATGGGGATTAGTGATATTATTGATTTTGTCGAAAGCTTAGATTGTCATCTTATATCTGGTAAAAGAATTTTTTTTAAATAGGTGAGAAGTTTGGTTAAAATGGTTGTTGTTAGATCCACACCTCTCATTTGTTTAGGTGGAGTCTTATTTGGTAATTAAGATTCATATTTTTGCTTTATGAAAAGTAAAAGAAAAGAAACGAATGTCCAGGTATAACAAGTTTTAATATAGATTCTTGGTTCTATATGCAACCCAATTAGAGATACTTATCTATATGTACTTGAAATGGGAGGTCGAAATCTGCCACAGGTTGAAAAAATGTACTAATTTTTTGGGTTTTTCATAACAGGGACCTGGGAATGAGTAGATCTGGTGCAAATGATAACCGAAAAGCATCAACATCTTCATCACCTGAGAAAGAAGATCGGTATTACACAACAAGGGGGTCGGGGACATTTGATGATAGTAGCAAGGCTTTTGCAAATCCTGAGGAAAATAGAAAGATTGTTTGGCCAAAATTACTTGTTACCTTATCGAGTAAGGAAAAAGAGGAAGATTTTATGGCTATGAAAGGCTGTAAACTACCTCAGAGGCCTAAGAAAAGGGCCAAGTTGATCCAAAGAACTATTCTTGTAAGTCATTTGTGTACACATGAATAGCATCCGATCATTTTGTGATTTGGGTTTTTTAAGTTATGCTTTGAGGTATGAAAATGCTTTGCTGTATTTGTTTGTGCAGCTGGTAAGCCCCGGTGCCTGGTTGTCTGATTTGTGCCAAGAGAGGTATGAAGTGCGGGAGAAGAAGACTTCAAAGAAGGTACTGATATCACTATTGATGTTTCCTTGTTCTCCTATATTTTATGCCAGTTTCTTTTTCAGTTTTGGCTCTAAAAACATGGTTGCGATTGTTATTTGGCACAGAAACCTCGAGGATTGAAAGCTATGGGAAGCATGGAAAGTGATTCAGAATAATAGGTGGGACAGAGAAAGGGAGAAGATATTGTAGTAACAATCTGATATTTTGCGAGTTGTAGTAGTATAATAGTCTATAATTTGGAGTTCTTGGTTGGTTTTGCAGAGCTGCTCGTAGTTCTTGAGCCTCTTATTCAAATCTTGTATTGCATATCTAAGAATGAATTATCATTTTCATTATTTTCCAAAAATTAAAGTTCTTTATTACCCGATGCTTTCTTCGTGCTTCAATAGCCAGTTCTGTAATTCGACGTCATCATACACTTTGGTGAGCATTTCTGTTTCTTTTCCTCGTATTTTCCTGTCATCTTCGCGTTTCCCAATTCGATTTAAGACTTGGAAAGTCACTAATAATTTGTTCCATATTCAAGTCAATTTTCATGTAATGACAGACTCAGATTCCGTCCTTTCCTGAGAGATATATATATATATATAGGCAATAGCCAGATATTGAAAAAATGGAAAAAATACATTGAGACTGTATTGCAAATTAAAGTAAAATGATTAGAAAACAACTTGTACAATTGACTTCTACCCTCAAAATTGCAGCTGAAACTTCAAACCATTTTCAGCTACATTGCTATTTGTGATCCTCTAACAATGTCTACCTATTTCTTTGAACCCTTTTCTTCTACTGCTCATTTACAGGTTGAAACCTATACTCTTGCAACATTTACTCATGTACACATTTTTATCCTCGAGAACCCTCGGTAAAGGCCAATCAAATTGCTTGAGCACGGAGAAGCTCCTATGCTCGCATTCTTGGGTGCTCATAAATCATTGACACCTAGATGCTATTGGATTGTGAAAATTCATGTGACAAAGCACGCTTGCGCAGTCAGTAAATTCCCTCGAATCCAAAATTCCAGCTGCAATCAGAACCACATTGTGCTCAATCTGTTTAACACAATAAAAGGCATACGAGTGTTTAGTGCATGTTCAGTGGATTGTATGTAATAAATCAGAACAATCACCCTATTAAGAGCACGTTTGGGAAGTGTTTATAAATGTTTCAAATTATAAATAGATAGAAATAAGTCGTGAATAAATAGATAGTACTTGTGAGTCCCTCAAAATGTGTGAATAAAAAGTTAAGAGTGTTTATAATCCATTTGTTCAAACATAAGCTCCAGTATCTGAGATAAAGGTCAGGTAGTATAAGAAAATTACCACGACAGCCCCTCATTTTTGGATTATTTGGCAGCTTGCACATATGAAGGGCAATGCACGCACGCCTGCAAGGATCTGTCCAGAAGTTTGCAGAAGGGAAAAAAAAAAAAAAGCCGTCACTGTACTATAAAGCTTCAAGAGCTACTGAAGCTTTGGTGAATACAGAGAGAACAAAGGGTGCCTCTTCTCCAGGATGAATGGTTGTTGGCACAATTGTGTAACCCTTAGGATCAGGCTCAAGGACCATCTCACAAGATATTTCCCGAGAATTTACATAATCTGTGCCACCAACTGATTCGTGCAAGTATATATTGTAGGCAGCACGACGTCCACGGGTCTTGAGAATCCTCATCCCTATGTAGAACATCTGTGAATCATGGCTTGACTGGAAATTCTTGAAACCAGCTGTTGTTCTCGAGAAGCTCACACCCTATGAAGACACAATTTGGCATGAAGCAAACAAGAGACAGCTATCTGAAGATTTATAACCTTTGCTATTTGAAGATTAATAAGCTCGCACACATACAAAATTACCTGAGTTAAGGTGATGAACACATGAATCGGTAAGGATGCATCTGGCCCCATGGCTCTCAAGCGGAACTGTGGATTTTGATGCCAACTATCATAGTCCTGGCAGCCTCCAGCGCTGTAACCTCTCCACTGACTATGGACAGAATAACGCATCTCGGGTGGGTAGACACGGCACACATATATCGACCTGAAATGTATCTGAAAATCTTGCCAAGACATCCAGAATATACCATCTCTTGCCTGTTCCCAAATGAATACACCAAAAGTTCCATGAATAAAGTAAAAATTACTGAATTGTAATTTCAAGCACAACAAAAGAATATATAGCAAGGGTTATGCAGAGAAACCGCATCGAAACAATTAAGCAAATCAATAATTGAAGACTAGTGAAGAAAATACAAATCGAAAGTACCTGAGGGACATGCTTGAGCTTGTGCTTCATCCTATCTGTCCATTCAGGTGATGAATCGGACCAAGGGCCATTCCACTCAACCTCGTTTGCCCATGGATTTCTGATCTGAACAAGTTTATTGCCATCTACTTCTCGTACCTGGACAGATATATATATAGCAAAAAGTGGTTGCTTCACACTATTCCTTCTACCAGACTTTAAGGTGTTTTTACGTACAAGGTCTTGGACCAACATACCTGTAATATCGAGTAAGCATGCCCTTGCACAATTCCACTGGAAGAAACATGCACATCCGACCCTGAAGGGCTGCCAGCACCAAGCAGGAAGCCTTCTTGTTTGAAGCGTAATAATTGAGACCATAGTCTTCCACTAGCTAGGTCAATCTGGGCTTGAGCACTTCTAATATCAATCTCCTCACCTGCACCGCCAGTTAGGTCCACAAGAGCATCTTGGACAAGCCCGCCTTCCAATGCTTCATATGATCCATGAAGCTTAGCATATGCTTTTTCTAATACAGAGACCCACAATTCATTACCCTTCCTGCTGGTAGCAAATGCAGGTTTGCCAGGTGATTCACATGGAATCCAGTCATCTACAACAACGGGAACCCATTCTCCCTGAAATCAAGGAAAGCATAAATGGTCATATAGTAGCTTCAAGAAATAAACTAGCCAAATTTAAATTGATGATTGCAACATTAGATCGCATGAAATCAAGTCTGGTTTTTTAAACATTGGTTATTCCACACTGCCAACATCAAAGCATAATAGTCAAGAAAACGTCATATTCTCCTATAAAAGGATAAGGTTGCATTTAGTGGCCTGGAATTTGGTAAATTTGAACTAAAATCTTCTCTAATTTTGGTTCCAAACAATCACAGCAATTTGCACAGATTTTAGAACAAAGTAAAGGAAATAAGCAAAATTTGAACCACCTGAATACAGAAACGGACTGTATAAATTCCTTCTTCATTATATTGTGGAGTAATAATGACTTCCGATATGCGTGAAACCTCAGTCAGCACTGCAACAGCGCTCAAAAACCAACAATCACCCAACCGGCCCTGTTAGATTCGACGCATTAGTACAGCAATTTAATTCGAAAATAATTTCGGGGCCCCAGATTTCATGTCCTGATTGCTCTGTGTGTGTGTGTGTGAGAGAGAGAGAGAGAGAGAGAGTGAACAGAAACCTGACAAACATCAGAAGGATTTGCTCTTCCCGAAAATAAGCATGGATTAGAATCCAGATGCTTTTCCTTCACTATTTCAATAGGCCTCATCCACTCTGAAACAACCTACGATACAAAGAAGATGATTTATACATTCCATGTAGTCATTAGGAAAAACAAGACAAACAAGAAATGTAACCCTCACGAAAAATCAGAGGAAAATTACCTGCAATTTTGAGGGAGGATTGTTAGGATCAACAAATAATGAGCGATCATTAGGTGGAAATTCTTGATCAGTAAACTGTGATTCTCCTCTAGCCAAGAGAGCCTCCTTTACAGCCAATTCTACAGACCGCATACGTTGATTGATTTCCTCCTGTGTCTCCATCCTAGGTTTCCTCAACCTCCTAGTAAAAGAATCCACATCTACCACGACCCCTTCACGATCTGATCTTCTCTTCCTCCCACTTGAATATTGCCCGTCCCAATCTACATCATCCCTGTCATAAAGATCTACATCTGCAGGATCACTCTCCCAGTCCTCAACCTACATTAAATCACATAAAATAGCAATCACAGAACTGGTTTAGAGCCCAAAATAATAACACTACCAGTGGAGCAGAGGTAATGCGAAGAAGTAAAACTTGCAGACAAAAACATAAAAATGGTAACAAAAACAGGTGCAGACCCTTGGAGGAGAACTTGACCACTGCCAATTATCATCGAGGATATCCATTGTATTGTAATCAGAAGAACCCATAGCAGCAGCAAGAGCAGCAATCTCATCTTCATTCAAGCACCTTCCCCAAAGGAAAACATCCATTATGTGCATTTTGGATTCAGCACCTTCGCTATCCGACCTCCCAAATGCATCCACATCTGTGGGTGGTCTAACTCCAAGCCAAACTTCTGTTCCTTGCTCCCATATGCCATTACCCACATTAAGTGGAAGCCCAGTCTGATAGCCATCATAACCACCATCAATGAAGCAAGTGGCCTCACCTAAATCCGCATCAATGGTCAAAGTGACAATATGCCACCTGCAAGTCAAAAGTTTCATGTAAAACATAAAGCCATCTAAAAAAGATAAGAAAGAAAGTAAATATAATCAAGAAAAACATAAGTAGTGAAATGCAGACAAGTTTGAAAGGAAAACCAGGTGGACAAAGGAAAAGGGAAGAGAAAAGAAGCAAGACAAAAACCATTGGACCCATGGGTTGTTTACGAACTACAGAACAGGTAAAAAAAAATAAGGGTATGAATAGCACACACACAGAAGCAGACATTCACAGACCTTCCATCTGCAATACTTGATGAACTTATACTCCACTCCTTTGCAACAGTAGTCTGTCTATCACCTTTTGTAATTAATCGCAAACCAACTTGTCCAGCTTCAATGCCTTGTTCAGATCCAGCCACAAGAATTTCCCAACACACTCTCTTCTGTAATTCAGTACCCAAGAGACAAACAGGCCCAGACTCAGGCTGAATCATTACAGAAACAGAGAAGCTAACTTTCTGACTTTGACATAAACTAGAATCAATCTGTCCACAGCGCCTGCCACTTGTTGTGGGTTCATCATCAAGAATACATATAGCACCAGCAAGGCCCGTCTGTAAATGACAATGTGATGTTATTAATCCGTACAGTTTTCAAAATTACCTACTTTTTCGTGTTCCCAACCCCAGGCAATTGAGATAAGAAAAAAAATTAAATAAAGAAGAATGAAATGATATCTACAATTTTCCACCCATAAGATGTTAAGATAAGATTTTGGCAATCACCCCCTGGATAGCACAATAAGTTTATCCCTCAAAAAGTAAGATCTTAAACTCTCGTATTATTCGAAGATTAATGGAGAATGATATAATAATCTTAAAGTCTCGTATTATTTGAAGATTAATTGGGAATATTAAAATACCTGAAGTGCCCTATCAGATAACTGAGTTGCACGTATTCTATATGCAACGCTTGAAACTCTCTCCCGTGCAAATGAATCGTCAAGCAATGAATCCCCTCCTACAGCCCGCACAGCGGCAGCCATGGCTGCTGCCTCCCTGCTTCCAGCATTAGGAATAGAAGATATAAGAGAAGCCTCAATTTCCTTCCATTTACGTTCTTCTTTCTCCAGAAGAGCTTTTCTTCTTTCTTTACCTCTCCCTTCCTCTTCACGTCTCTGCATCAAAATTTCCTCTTCCATCTCCTTCTCTCTTATGTAACTGAAAGAATAATCAAGAATATTTAGAAATACCAGGACAAGCTGATGCAAATGCAGATTATAGAATTTAATTTCTTGAAGTGTACTTGTTTCACCTCTCCTGTATAATTTCAAATTGCCTACGATCCTCAGGCATCCACTTTTTAATTTTTTTGGCACTTAAATCTGAAAAACCTATGCTGTCAAGGAAGATTCTCAAACGAACTTCATCCTGTACAGGCACAAACAGCAGTACAAGAATCATTAGCAGTGAAACCAAATGAAAAACGCATGGCACGCAGTATGGATCATTTTTACCTGTACCCGTTCTGCTTTGGCAGTCAAGGAAAGCAGAAGAAGTAAATAACCACCAAACTTATCCCACATGTAAACCCATTCAGTATCAATTGCCTCTTCCAGAGCCAGTATTCTGGCATGGGCACACATTTCTCTTTTGTGACCTACATCACCGATTGATTCATGCCGCAATATCCTTCGACTTCTCAATTTGGAGAAGAATGATCCAGCAGCCAGTTCTTCATTTCGCAAACGATCTCTTAGTTTCATGACATCGGCTCTAGGAAGCACATAGTTCCCGGCCCTATCCCGCGCAACAGTAGGATCTCCAACTAAAAGCGCAGCTGAGCTTGCAGACCTCTGAGGAGCAGAGTAAGTTCCAGATAATGCATTTCTTGTCTGCAAGGAGTAAGAAGGGACTTCTATATCAGGACAAAGACATATATCAACTACACAACCGTAAGTTTTCAAGATTCAGGCATGTTATAGAAAACAACTGAAAGATATCCGAGGCAGAGAAATAACCGAAAGAACAAGAAATATGAAGGAACCTTTCTGGTAATTCCTTATGTAATTTATGTCCTACATCTACAGTATTGATTCCAGGTACCAATGAATTTCTTCTTCAATCAGGTAAAGATACTCTAAAACAAAAGCCTCTTTGAAATATTGTTTTACAGTTCAACTCGATGCAATTTCATAACCTCAATTTTTTTTTGCCAATATTAAACATCACAGCAAGTCCATGTTACACACCTGTATTATCTTTAACAGCTACAAAATCATCTTTAATCTAAATCATGGAAATGATGTTCCATCATAATGATGAAACACAAAATGTTATGGAAGCAGATGACACTGCACAAACTATACCATGATAATTGCCTCTCTCTCTCTCTCTCTCGTGAGGGGGTGAGGGAAAATGAAAATTGTTCCATCAAAATGAGTAATTAGAGTAAATGAATGTCAGAAGAACGTGGAACGTCTGCCTAAAAGGAAACAGATATTGACTACGTTAACGTGTCAATAGATTGAAGATATAAAGAAAAATAAAACAGTTGAACCCCATTACTAAGAGTGGGAAATAAAGAAGTAACAGAAAGGTACCAGTAACATTAAACTTCATTTGGTTACAGAGTTACTGTAAACAAAAAAGAATAAAAATTTTGAAAGATTAACATGCAGCTAAAACTAGACGCACCTTGGTAGCTGATCGAGCTATTGCCTGGATTATAGTTTCCTTACTTAGAAAATGAACAGCATCTTCCACCGTCTAATTGAATAGATATATTAGAATGCAAAAAGGAAGCAAAATGCTGAAATAACTAAAGAAAAACTCTTTGGATGATCTATCAACAAGTGCATCAAGATGGCTGTTTCATATGCACATAAAACATGACAGTAGATTATATTTGTATTGCTAAACTGTATGAATGAGTTCGTTATAAATGGAAAGTTCAAACCTCAAGAGTTAAACACGGACGAGAGACGGCGAATCCAAAAGCCACAACAAGTGTGATTGCAGATACGGCAGCACCAGCAAATGGTGGATAAATCTTCAAACTGGCGACTACACCCCAGCCTTCAGTAGCCAATGCAATGCCATAAAGCATAAGAAATGCAGCACTTCGGAAAAGACAGACAGAAACTATCAGACAAGATACCAAAATATGTAGTTTGTGAAGCATTCCAACTTGTTTACGAGTGGAAAGAATGCATACTCGTAGAACAGAAGAAAGAAGCAAATACCACATACACAAAAGGGAATTTAAGCAAACCTGACGTTTTTCCCAGTATCTGCATGAGCATCATAAATATAGACAGGCAGCACCCTCGGTGAATAAACTACTATAGGAGGCGAAAGAAGCACCTGCAAAAAATGGTATCCATCACACAATTGAATCTAATAAAACATTGTGCAGCAAAGATAATAATTTTACAAAAAAGAGGTTTATGAGTAATATGCTTCAGATCTGGATTTTTTAAAATCAGATATTACTTACAGTCAAGGCCCTTCCAGCCAAAAGGAACAGAAAGGAGAAGTAACCAACAGATGCGCCAACAAAAGCTTTCTCTGTAAAGCAACAACGATTTTACAATGTCATGTACAAGGCCAAAATGTCATCAGGATGGCAATCTAGGGAGAATTTCGACAGAGTAGATGAAACAGGTCTAATATTGCAGTCTGCTCTTTAACTGGGATAGGGTCAAAGAAAGGGAAGAGTGCTACCTTGAAACCAGCCAACAAGGAAAGCTGCTAAAGCCAAAAGAAATGCTACAAAGCAAACGAATAGCGTCTGCAGCCTTGTCAGGTAAAAGTTATTTGAAGCCCAATAGTGAATAACACCAATAGCCAGGATGAGGAGGAGAATAACTAAAAGGAATGATGCACCTATCTGTTGTAACAGAAAATGAGGAATCATGTCATCCACAACCACTACAGATGACAAATAACAAAAGATGAGGACTCCATCACAATGCTCACTCACCGTCCATGGTTGAACTGTCACAATTATGGCTGACATTGCACCAAACAACAGAAGAAGACCAATGATTATGAACAAGTAAGCACCTCGGGAAAGTTCCCAGTTATCATCTTTCCTGCAAATGATATATGGAATATCTTATAGTCCTCTATCACTCTTTAAGATGCCATTTGCTGAAAATTACTTTTAGGGTGCAAGCCTCACCCCATCCAAGAAGTGAGGTTCAACTGCTAAAACTGTACAAGATTACATACCATTTAAGCAAACCTGAACATAGTGATAATAATGCTGGTAGACATATCAAAGGTAGTAATGCGGTGAGAAAATCAGCCTTGGTTGGAGACTGGTCGTTCCTCGAACTCACCACCTCCATGTAGGATGCACCACAGAATGCCACAAGAATAGCTACAAAAGGTTGTGGCAAGACCTCAGAAAAGGAGTGCTACACTAAGAGCAGGTTTGGGGTGGCTTATTTACTTCTAAACTTATAAGGAGAGAGAGATGAAGTACAGTCTTGATACCTTTTCTCTCTCCTTATATAAGTAAAATAAGCAAGCTTATAAGCCACCCCAAACACGACACAGAATGCCTCATAAAATAAAACAATTTATGATCACAACTAGGGATGCAGTTGAAGAGGAAGGATAAATGAGACTTCACCTGCAAACAAACCAACACATACAGCAGCTGAGAGTGAAAAACGATATGTTGCAAACCATGACACTATCGGCAGCACGCCAGCAACTACCAAAGCAATTGCCGATGCCATTGCCCATCCAATATACACTGATGATGTATAGGGAGATGAAACACTATTCTGATCACCGTTCCACGCATTGTATTTCAAATTATCTAAAGGCTTTACAGATACAATTGCACCAAGGGCTATCACTGATCCCACAAACAAGGATATGCAAGTGAAAAGAACAATAACCTGATAATAAATTGTGATGTCACTAGTTACAGATAAAGAAGTTCAATTAAAAAATTTAAAATCCTTGCAACACATATGGTTGTCAATGATCTCGTTAATATAGAGAAATGATGTCATTAGACCAGAGGTTACCATCAAAGTTAACGAGACATTATAAGTTCAGAGACTTGAGAATGGAACAAAAAAAAGGAAGACTCAACCGTCTTCCGAAAAGGGATCAGGAATAAAAAGAATCGATCTACTTTCATTTGGTATTTTGGCCTAAATGCCTTGACTCCTTGATAATCAAATCCTCTTTTTTGATGATTGAATCTTTGGGTTCTGATCCTGTACCGCTGCTCAAGACTTTAATGGGTCGACTCTATTACATAAGTTGATTCCTAATTTTTATCTCATTTTTTTGCAGTAAAATCCATCTATGACCATGGCATAGAAAAAAATCTATGGACACAAAAACAATTACAAAAAATGATACAGTAGAGACACGCCCAATAGCCCCTAGCCCCCACCCCTCTCGTTCCTCAAGATTCTCTTTGCATTACACGCTTAAATTGATACCTCAAAAATGACTATTTTGTGGAGAAGGCAAGAAAAAAATGAATTAAGTGGTGGAGCCACCATTCAGTCTAACAACAAAAACAGAAGCACGAAAAGCTTAAAGGTCAAACCTCCTTTCTCCCCAGAATTCCATTATTTCCTGCATCGCCTGCATTACCAACTCTTGGAACCCAAAACTGGTAACCATTACGAATCCATAAGGGAACGCCAATCGATAGGCAAGCAACCATGAGAGGTAGTGTCAAAGATAATCCAAGAAGAACTGATGACTTGCTGCAGAAAATTACAGATAGGAATGTCAATTATATCATCAACCATTATCACTACCGCATCAACTTATTCTTTCTTTTTTTCCCAGAGGGAGGGAGAGTGGCTCAATGAAATATTGAGTATTTTTAAGCAAAAACAATTGTTCACAATTATTAGCACATTGAGAATAATAAATTTATACAAGGATGATAACATGATAATCCAATGTATCAGTGTTATACCTCAGAAAGGAAAGCAACAATCCAACAGAAGTACTCAGCAACCAAGCTATAAAACCATACTGCATAACATGAAAAGTGAAGTTCAATATGAAAAATAATAGTAATAATAATAACTCCAGAGGCCAAGTGGATGCAAAAGAAACTGAGTAAAGTTTGCACATAAAACCTACATGCACATCAGAATACATTTATGCATTATGAATATTAGAGAAGCTACGGGGATAAAACGGCAACATCCTAAGGTATCACAAACTAGCCAAATCAATCCTAAGATAATTTGCTCTATTAAAATAAAATCAATAATCAAACCTCCATGTAGCAACGTCATGGCAATGCTACAAACTATATGATGTGGCTAAGCTTTATAAATTTAAGTCCACACGCACAGAAAAATAAGGAAGAAGAAAATCTTTGTTTGAGTTATTAGAGGGTGTCTCAAGTATGAGGAGAAATTAAGGAAAGCAAATGCGGCTCGTCATGTGGTAATAAATTAATAGTAAGCTCTTTAACAGGACAATAATAACAACTTTAAAATGGACTTTTAGGCACATTGAAAAATTTACAGTGAACTGCAGATGTTAATGTTTTTGCAGCATCCAGTGACAACCAAAACCTGTACTTTTAACCTGAAACCCATCGAATTTGTTAATTGATTAGATTGCTATCTAACAGATTCGAAAATACCTTGCGTGGTTTCGAAGTCATGGACAATTCTTCAGATTGAAGTGACCTAAGGAAAGCCATGATTGAACAGACAACAGGAGATAAAAGCAGCACCGCAATGCCAAATTCAAACTACAAGTAATGAAAATAAGAAATAATTAGGCAGTTAAAAAAGGTTCTTAACTTTAACTCACACATAATCAACAAAGAAGTCCGGTAAGAATGCCGACCATACCTGTTGGTGAGTGACATCTATGAGGTATATTGCCTTTGGGCGAAAAATGGCCACAATGGTAGTCTCAATGCTAAAGACAAAACTGAAGAGAACCCATGCTCGTTCTGGGGTACCTGCTATATGATGCAACATTAGTCTACACAGGCGAAGCCACTTCTCCAATCCACGAAGCCTAAGTTCTTCTGAAAATGAAATTTGATTCGGTGGCACATTTTCAACACTGTTTGAGTCAATGATGTTCGTATTAGTATTGTCACGGTGGTCTCTATCAGCATCCAAACTACTTCTCTGCAGTAGAGCAAGGATCATTGGATCCAATCCATTCTCCTTCAGCATCACAGCAAAATTAGGGTCTAGACCTTTATCCTGCAGTAAACTGGTTAGTTCCAGCTCTCCTCGTCTTGATCTCCTTTTCAACATAGATGCAATCCGTGGATCACTCAACTTCTCCTGGAATGCAAGTGCCAAATTCAAGTCCATTGCTTGAATTAGAGAGGTTGACGCACTAGACTCACCGCCTTGGCTTTCCATACCACTACTAGAACAAACTACCAAACAGCTATTGTGGTCAATGTTCTTATCAGTATATGAAGGCCCAACTTCAGTTTCTTGAACTACTGAACGACAGGAACTGCTATGTAATGCTAAACTTGGTCTTCCGCTATCTATGCTCTTATCGCTATGAATCCCTTCAACATTATTCCAGATTGTAACCTCGCCAGTACAAGGTGCTGAAGCAGTACCAAGATGACCAGCATCCGCACTACTACTCCGTTTTACACTTGAACCACAGCCTTCGGACGAGCTAGATGAGCTGTTTTGGTCTTTTCTACGAAATCCTTCTCGAAGGCGAATTACTGTACTATGCAATGCATCTCTTCTCGCAGCTGATGGATTTGTAACTGATAAATGACGAGAAACGGCAGCACCTAGTAGTACAGATGCTACAACTGCATAACTGGTACAATGTCCAAGATACCTGAAACGAAGAGGCGCAACACAAGTCATGAGGCCATGTATCACAGATATATTTAAAGTATATCCGATCATGAAGTCTGGAACAAACCAGTAATGAACTCCAAAGCATATGAGGAAGACCCGAGATAAGCCAGCCACAAAAAGTGCGGCAACACGATTTTTAAGCAGCTGAAACCCATATAAACATGCCCCCATGTTCCAATCTAGCAGAAGAAAATCAGGAATATAGCATGTGTGTGATGCAAAATATATCATGAAATATATTGTTTTATCTCAAAAAAATAAAATAAAATAAAAATATAGAAAGGAAAGGGAACAAAACTGCATATGCATATATCAGAATAATAGATTCATATATGAAGTTAGTGTACCAAGAATAATAACAGCAGCTGATGTAGTAGCTCCAAGCCAATTTGACTCTTTCGCAGTCAGGCCATACAAGATGGAATATACCAGCAGAACTACAATGGAACCAAGATATAGAAGCCCAAGATGCGAAGCCCTGCAGAGATAAATTTGGTTAATAAAATAATCAAGTAATAACAAAGATAATAGTAGATTGAAAGCAAATAATATGTGGAATCATAAACTAAAACTCAAATACTGGATGGACCTGTAAACTAGAAAAACTTCGCTGGCGTACACAGGAACCTATTTTAAACATGGGTGTACCATATAGGCAACTGCATATATAATGTTTGGTTCGTAAAGGCAAAGAGCATCAATAGTGGTAGCATATTAAAGAAAATCTCCAGAAAAGTCTAATAACCAAAACACGGGAAACTGTAGCAGAAGTTCATAACTGAAGAGCAATTAAAATAGGACTTACCTTCTAGATTGACGAGGATATAACTCGTTGGGGTCTGGTGGTTCTGTTAAGCAAGCAACTGGACCCACTTCAATACAATCCGAGTAAGCAAATTTATATGCCCTTCGCACGTATTCATCAACATCCAAGCCATTGCCTGTTGAATACATCCAAGGATTATGGATAAAACAATAACCAGACCCTAAACCGGAAATGGAAAGTGGGAATAATACAATGTGAGAAAATGAGATTTGATTGCATTTGATTTTATTCGATTCATTAGTATGATTTTGTAATTTCCGAGATTTAGACTTCATTAGCTGTTTACAATTTACTTTCATTATCTTGTTGATTGTGTAACTAGTTCTTAGAATTAAGAATGAGGATTACAACCACTTGTTCTCTAAATTTCTACAAGGCATAAAAGCTTGGTTCTGATGGAATCAGTGAAACCCCATCTAAATCTATCAATTCCCCACTCGAGTTGATGTAAAAAAAAAAAAAAATGATATAATAATTAGTTCAGTTATTATTGCTAAAAGAAAAATCAACCGTCCTTTTATCTACCAGTTGAGAGGAATTCTTTTTGAGAGATGTCTGGTGTCATGCAAATTGAAACTTCTCCTTTCAACAAGTAACAGTTAGAGCATCTCTACAAGTTATTCTTCTCCCTCATGTTTATTAGCAATGAAAGCTAATCCAATTACAACCTGACCTAGAATCAAGTACCATGGATAATTGATTCTAAAGCATCAGACCAGAAGACTAGTCTATCTACCCTTTTTTCCTCTCATAATCCTTGTCCTGGCAATTTGAAGATTAGAGTTGCTGATGGTTCTAGGTCATCTGTTGGAGGCAAAGGTTATATCAAAACCTCACCAAATATTAGCCTAGAATCTGTTCTTCATGTTTCTAATCTTGCACGTCCCTTATTTGATCCCCATTATTTTCAGAATACTATTTTTTCCCTCTTCTTTTCAATTACACATTCTTCAATAATATAATATTACACGCAAACCCAAAACCTTTCCTTATTTTTTAACCACACATTCTCCACCAATCTACTATTCCAAAATGCATTCTTAGCCAAAAATGGGGCTCAAACATGCTCTAAATTATTTTCCACCTCTTGAACTTCCATCAGAACATTTTGATGCCCCAAAGTATAGAGTTGTATGGCTTACCATTGAATACCATCCTGCATATAAAAAGCATGTTGATTGCCAGGGCAATTGCTGACACACCAAAGAAAAATCCTGAAGGTGAATACCGCTCTGATGCTTTTACACCAGCTGTAACATACACAGCACAAAGTTCATATGCACAAAGCAATCCAACAGCCAGAAGAAGTAGAACAGCAACTGCCCCTGCAAGAGGTAGATATGATGAGAGAATATAAAGTAAGGAATAGAAAATGTCTTTAAACAGCATTAAAAAAAGTGCTGGACTTAACTAAATGGATGAGTAACTTGCACGTCCGACAACTATTAGACACCTCTTCACAAAGTAAACTTACTATTACTGTACTACACAATTACGAGCTCATCAGAACTTCTGTTTACTCAATTTTTAAGTAGCTTGTAGCCCAAAAATACTTGAGCTGTAATTAAATAATCCTGATAGGAAAACACGCCTCACAATTTAATTTAACCAAAGAATAATTAGGAGACCTGAAAGTTTGAACTGAATATTCAAGACAATAAATTACATATTACACTTATCTCCATTTAAACATCACATACTTGTTCATTTAAAATATGATACCACATATAAGAAGGTGCAAAAAAGCAAAATTTTAAAAACAAAAGTCAAAAAATTTTATTTTGGTATGAGTTATGAAGCATTTCAAGAAATGGAATTTGAAATGAGCTGAAATGCTTTAAATATCATCAAAATAAAAGAATAGAGCGCTAGAATTAGTGAAAGGATAGATTTTAAATTCTAGATTCAAATCTTCTAGTGATGTAACTTGTCCTGTTAGGCCATTGGAAGCTGGGAAATTAAAGAATCCACACTCTTAGCTTCCCAGGAAAGGCTGGTGTTATTTCCTTCCACCACATCGATTAATATACGACCAATCATATTGAAATAGGTTTCACGTCAACTTTATACAGAAAAATTGGACACTGGACTGCGGGCTGAAGGAACTATGGCTGGAGCCAATCCCCCTAACAAATGCTTGAGAGTTAGTAATAAAAAGGTTATACATACTTGAGCTTTGCCATTGTGTTCTCCACCAGAGCATTATCGAGTAAAATGCCAAAACAAGAGCAACTCCAGCCATTATAACAGCCAGACCAATTATGTCTCGACCTAGTATCAAAATCAACCAACTTCCCCATAAAATAAGTACCACCACTGGTGAAATTACAATCATCCATGCAAAGAGAGACAGAAAACCACATAATATTCCAAGCTGAGGTCCTTGTAAAAATGCTGGCCATTTTCTAGCAAAGATCCAACTGAAAAGGTGAACAATAAAGAGCTATTCAGTTAAAATACAAGATAAAAGTGTTCGATGAAATAAGCAAGCAGAAAACATCTTATTTCAGGTTAAAAAGCAGAAGACACGTCAATGTTGAACGACAGGACTACATGTTTCTTGTTAAATTAGTAACTCATATACAATTGCCTTGCCCCCTTTCCATTTCAATGAAGATCTTTGATTAATAGATTTCATTAGGAAAGAAAACGTCTTCATGAATAAATAATGATCAAACTTATTTACATCACGTCAACATGCATGTATTTCTCAGTTGGCAAGCTAATGGAGTGGCTTGATTGAAACAATAATATAAGTATGAAAGTCCCTCTACATAGAAGTAGAGCATCCTAACCCTAAAAAGTACTCCCATAATCAATCAATTAATGCATGACGAAAAAACATAGCCAGCTATATATGGGTAACCTTAAAACATGAAATTTCTTTTAGTAAAATTATCGAAAAGTTTGAAGTAAATTTTCACTCTCTCTATGCCAAAGAACCGTGAAGTCAATGCGGAAAACAAAAGAAATATCATTTAGCAAAGGAATATCATATTCTAGCTCTTTCTATTTCTAAGAACTACCAATGTATTACAGAGAATTCGAATAACAGGAAGACAATCAAAATATTACCATCACCCAGCAATTTTTATTGAACACAAGCCTGCCTCGGAATCCAGCAATGTGCCAAATAAAAAGACTCAATTAATTTGACCACAATAGTAATGAGCATTCCAGATTACACCTATCTGATTAAAAACCCAGTAAAGTGGAATTTAATATTTCTCTCTTTTCGCAACAAAATGAGGATAATAATTAAATAGAAGTGATAACGAAAAAAGTACATGATGAGAAAACAATGAATGAGAAGTCAAAACGCTACCTTCCTTTGGATAAACAAAGAAGAATTATAATGAGTTCCTAGGGTAACCAGTGCATCTTTTCTTTTCATTTTTTTAATTTCAGTAATTATGGCTACATGCTATATATTTGTACTTGCGTGGATGAGTATGTTTTCCATTAACAACACTGTAAAAAATAGGAGAATAAAGAACAGAGACAAAAACCCAAAATTTTACATGGATAGGTTTAAATAACCTACGCGGCTACACCCATGAGCAGAAGCACTAGTAAGTACCTACAAAGCATAGAACTACCTAACTTCGCTTGTAACCAATTCAGCCCACTCTCAAAAGCAACACCATTATAAGGCTTATGACTGTTTGTAGGTCAAAGACAAGAAATTATAACACCTATAAATATTCATGTAAAAAGTCATTTACTGGCATTAGTATTATATTTCAAGATTCTGTGTTCACTAATCATTGATATAAATCCAAATTTTTATGACAAGCAATTAAATTATTCATGTTCTTAGTAGAACTAAGTACTCAAAGGACAGCACCAAAAACTGGAAAAATTATTTTACTGGCACAATTGGCATATTTTAGCCTACATGTTAATCCCCAAAGCCAGGGAGAACTCGAGGAAACCCAATCACTCTCTTTCTCTGCATAAATTGCTCAACTTTTGTGGTGTATTTAATATCCCACCTTAACAAATCGTTACTTCTCAATAAATAGCCCTTTTTTACAACAATTTAAGAAATTACTAATTGAAAATCAAGAGCAGTCGTTAATTTGTAGAGAAATTAAAGGAAACATAGTTGATACACAGCTAGCACTTGTTTACTAGTTATTCCAACAAATATCAAGCTCACAAGCTACAACATGTAAACTTTTTGTAGAGCAGAAACTAAGTCGTGCATATCAACCTGATGACTTATTGATGAGGTACCAAATAGGATCCCCCTAATCAGAGAGAGAGAGAGAGAGCGAACTCTCTTAGTAAGTAGTAAGAAAACAATATTGGGCAATCTTGACCTTTGGTTTCCTCACATGTTTCCAGACCAAAATGGTTGGAAAAAGTAAATAATTAACCAGAAAGAAAAGAAAAGCCACAGCAATGAGGATGGCTTTTTAACTCAGGCATGTCGGTCCTTTGAGAAATTGAATTGTAAAGGCAAAACTGGTGAGGTAAAAAAACTACGGCAATTTTCATTAATCTCACTTAGGCAAATGAGGGAAACAAACATTTAAAATATATTAAGAAACATCAAGTATCCATTCCAAATATATTTCGAGGATTATTAAAGCATTGCTCCACCCCTTATAATGTTGGTAGCAATGAAAACACTAGCAAAGAATTATTTTCCAATGCAATTTCAACTTTTCTTCTCAATGCTGCCACAAGGTCTGTTTGAAATATTACGACCTGCTGGATTTCTCCTCTGTTTCCATATTTCCCTTTTCTAACTAGCATTAGTTACTGACGAGCATGCAGAAGACATACCATCACAAGTTGCGAAATGATTAACGGAAAATGAGAAATAATACTGATAATTATTTGTTAGATAAACTAAATTTGGCACTTCTCTTCACAAATGGAGAATGTTCTCACCAAAGACATCAAAAAGGTATCGAATTGATGGGAATCGTAACATAGGCATGTACGATTCTAATATTAACACAACTGATTCAACCTTTTTCCCCTATGAATCACTTGCTAAAATAATGCCTAACAGAAACAGGCAATTTCCTTAAATTGTCGTTCTCTCCTGCTTCATCGGGACTATTTACTGGGTTTTACACTCAACAAATACTTCAAAATCTTATTAACCATTTCAAGAACACATCAATTGCTTTATATCAACCCTCGTCTCATTTCACAACCGCATTAAGTTAGAAGTCCCCATTCATCCTATCCATGTTGGTCATTTCACGCTGTGGCATTTATTGTACAGTTTGAGGTTATTTAAGATTCTTTAGCATGACATTGTCATCCTTAGTTTTGCTTTCATATAGAAATAGATGAAAGAGACCTCAAGCACCCTTTCCATATATAAACAGAAAATGTAGAGATAATCAGATTGAAAAAGAATCATCACCTATATATCCGCCATGGCCTCCAGTTCACCAGCCACAGTATGGTGAAAGAAGCAGAACCCAGAACAGAGAAAAGCGTCGCCGAAATTACACAAGCCAGCATCAACCCGTGCTCCTTCCCTTCCATTTCCTCCCCTATTCTCTCTCGACTATAAAGAGTACAAAACGATTACTAATTTAAAAATAAAAATAATAATAATCATAATAATAATAATAATAATAATAATAATAATAATAATAATAATAATAAATTGACCTCTGAACAAAAGGAACGCATAAAATGAAGTAAACCCAATTCAATTCCCCATTTCTACAGTTCAAAATTAAGTAAACCAAAGATTTGCAAGCTTGAGGAAAAACAAAGTGGGTATTCGCATAAGCATTAACCTACCTATATCAGTGAAAATTGGTTCATTACTTCCCAGATTTCAGCTAAGAAAGCTAGGATGGCCGAGCAAACTATATGGCCCCACCATAATCAAGTCAAAATAAGCTAGGATTTTGCTCTCTTCTGTGAGCTCAAGCCCAGCTCAAGAAGATACAAGAAAGATAAGATTTTTATGAATTCTATAATGGGTATCTTCGATGGTGTGAGTTTGTCAAGACAGTGTTTATTAAAACCCTACACATCAATGAGAGAGGGGAAACACGGTGTAGAAGAGTCAAGCGTGCGACTGTAAATAATAAAGTAACAGTCGAAAATTTTGTCCGAGAATAATAGTATTAGCAGGTGTTAGGATTGTAATGGACATTTTATTTGTCGTTTGATATCTTGACATGTCATGTCCAATTTCTTTAATGATTTCAAGATTAGTGTGGAAATTAATATAAGAAACTAATAATTTACAAGATATCTATTATAATTGCTTAGAATGTGTTGATGAATTTAATTAATTACCTTAAAATATGAATTTAATTAAACTCAATTTTCTAATGAAGAAATGTCAAAATTGGTAGTATCCCAACCATGACCAGCATCTTGAAAAATAAATAAATAGATAACAAAAATCAAGAATGAGACCATCTCTATATTTGTTTTCTGTTTTGTTTTAGTAAATAACAAAATACATCAATATAATGTATGGACGATAACATTCAGCTCCTATTTGAGCCACATTATTGTAAAAATGAAAATGAAAAATATAATAGTTATGAACCCCACACAAGAAATAAAAAATTAAATATGATTTGATGAAATGGATAACGGTCATATATTTCATTTTAATGAGAGAACAATGGGGTTTTAATAGGGCCACAATATTTTAAAATTATAAATTACATATACAACTTATATAAATGATAAATAAATTTTTAGATCAGTTTATTAATATGTCATTGTAAATGGTTCAAATAGTCACGATGACAATAGCTCCAAATATCAATTTATTTTCATTAGGGATTGGAACATGTCGGTGGTTTTTAACAACGTCACGACACTGTCGATGATAATAGTTGATAACCATCCTAATCATCAAGATATTATTATTACTATTATTATGGGTAATTAGTATATAACGTTCCTATCTTTTACTATTATTGTGCGAAACATTTGTATATTTTATTTTTTGATATTTTCGCCTTAATTATACATTTGATTGCGCAAACAGTCCTTCCATCCATTTTCTGTCAATTTCTCCATTAGTTTACCCAAAAAGGTTAATTTGATCAAATTTTGATTATTTTAAAAAGGAAAAATTATAACTTTATATATCTCCAATAAAATAAGGAAAATTCCATTTGTACATAATGTGGATGTCGAATGGTTTTCTCCTCTTACAATGTATAGCGGGCCCCATGTGAATTTAGAAATGCCAGCCCGTGATCCCCACTCCTGTTGTGAGTAGTATGTAAAAAATTTGGTAAAGAATTTGATACGTGTAACATTGTCCATAAAATAATCAAAAGAAAGAAAAAAGAGAGAGAGAATTAATCCTTCTCCTTCCCCATCCAACCCTAACACTCCACGAACACTTACTGTTACGCCTCGATACCGAAGTGCCATCTCACCACCGAGGCCGAGATCAAGTAGACCCTACGCAGCACCATTTACTCCGACCTGAAAACAACCCTCCCGAAACTTCTCCGAAGTGATATATTGATTCCTACTACTGATCTGCCGAAGCATCTCACCTCCGAGGTCGAGATCAAGTGGACCCAGGTTAGAAGATCCGCCGCCAATTTAAGATTTGTCCTGGACCTAAGGCTTAAATTGATTTGACGTCTCCATGAGGCTATTTGATGTGACTTATCAACTTATGTCAATTCAACTCGGGGGAAACAAAATGTCCGCCCACTCTACAAGCGCGGCCGATTGACGCCTATAAGCAGACGCTTCATACCGTCAGATGTACACACGCGTTCCACATCCAGCGGTTCATACCACCTATAAATACCCAAGGTTTGACAAGAGGCAAAGGAGAAAAAAGAAAAATGAAACCCTCAATACATAGCATTCCATAACAAGTTTATATATTCTCCTCCCCCTTTATTGATTGATTTGTGTAGCCCCTGGGCACTGTTCCGACCACTCAAACTTGACTTGACCGTTGGAGCGTATACGGCCGCCACCACCCCCGTCGGTTCCGGCCGTGTGCGCCTGACCGTTTGTTCATTTCGCAGGGAGGAATACGTGGAATAGCTATAAGTTGGCCACGTGGAGGAGCCATTTTTGGAGGTCAACA